TAACCCTTTGAAGGATAACGTGCCGAATAGGGTTCGTATGCGTCGAAGGCGTTGCTGAGCGTCGTGTCTCATACGGATTTCGGAAGTTCGGTCTCGCCCGAATAACGTGCCGTGTGCGATACGGTCAAGGGAGCAGTTGGTGGTGTGTTTGCGCTGGTACCACACGTTGAAGGGCTACTAATTCTATAGCGTTTTTCTTTTATCCTTCGTTCCACTGGAATATAATGCATTGCTTTCTCTGAACACCGGCATTTCCGTAAAAGAGCGCAGCGCAGATGATCCAGAAACTCGTTATGTACGTCTGTCGCACGCAACAGAACCAGCTCTCGAAGGAGTTAAGGGTTTCTAGCTTCAACTTTCAAGAGGAAGAGAAAAACGTGAAAACATGCAGAGGTGGGTTCCCGATTGGAATTGGAGTGGAGTTTTGCGCTGATGCTATGAATTTCCACTGCCCACAATTTGGACTACTTTTAGTTTTTTTTTTCTCTCTTTTCAGGCGATTCATCACAGAGGACAGATGTACATATGAAAGTGAGTAGACCTGCAAATATTCCTTTCTTGATGAAAAGGGGTCATCTGTCATGAATTTTCTATTTCAGTTCATGGTAGATTCACTGATTTTTATGAAAGCTTCAGACACAAAACTTGAGCATTTGAGAGTGATTAATTGAATCAACAGGCCATGGTTTCCTGAATTTGAATGTTTGCATTAACTGGCTTCTCATTGAAATTTGTTGTGACTTTTTGCATTGGTTATACATCATCTTTCTTTGTCATCTCTTTCCTTTATGTAGTGGTGGTCATTTCCAGTCTCATCATATTGCTTTTACAAGTTCTTAGCTTCCTCTACTAAAAAATTCCTTTCTTGGAGGATACTGTTGGTGTTGGCTTCATATTAAGACTATTTCACTGGACTGTCAATAAGCAAATTTCCAGCCAAATTATGGAGGGAAGTAGTACATGTACAGGTTCAGATTAAAGGGATTGAGAAGCTTATTTCATCTTTTGCTGCCAGTGTTCCATTCATGTATTGTGGATATAGTTGGAGAACAGCAGTTTTCCTGCTGGCTGTTCTCCATTCTTATATGTGATGTGGGGGGGGGGGAGACTGCTAATTACATGTTTTAAGCTCAACTATGTTAGAATCAACTCTTTCCTCTGTTTCATCCTAGGATGAAGAGGAAATGAGAAGGAAAGTATTGGACAAAGTCCTCAAGAATAGTGACTTGAAGCTGCATCTTAGTGATTTGTCTGCTGACATGCATGTCTCAAAGAATTATCTCTGCAAGTTGCTTAAGGGTAGTGAATTCTTCTGCATCTCTGAAGACCGGTCAATTGTATCACTCAATGTTGAGCTGAAGATTTGCCATCCATATGTCATGCCAAATGGTTGCAACCAGGAAGGATGTACCCTACTTCACATCTGTCCAAAATTCATAGATGACAACTGTACGGAGAAAACCTGTGAGGAAGGACATGATTTTAAAACTGAACACAACATTCGTGTCTTGAAGAAATATGACCTTTTGGATGCAAACATAGAAGCCTTGAAGAAATTGACCATATCATCTTTTGATGTTGGGAAGGTGCCTGATATATGTGGCTCTTATAATGTCAATAAGTGCAATACTGGAAAGCAATGTGATAAGATTCATATTTGCATTGGTTACATTATGGGAACCTGTTGTGATGAGTTGAAATGCAGCATGAATCATGATCTTCTTGAACCTGAAAATTGTAAAAAATTGCTTGAAAATGCTGGTGTTGCACTTGAGCGCACTCCAAAGGACTTGAGGAATCACTTGAAGAGAGCATGGCAGGCAGATAGGCAGTTACAGGCAGTGATAGACATGAAGGCCAAAGACAAGGAGGAGAGGGAAAGAAAGAGAAAGAAGGCAGAAGAAGCCAAGAAGAAAGTTTATCATGCCAATGAGGATGATGGGAATGTGGAAGTCCCAGAGGTGTGCATATTCCTTTTGAATGGGCGTTGCTATGATGGGGAGAAGGGTCGCTGTAAGCGTCTTCATGCTGCGAACTCTTTCCATTGGCAAGTTCAGCATCCCAAATCATTGAAGTGGGTGAATTTAAGCAAGTCTCAGAGCCAGAACCTTGAGAACCTGTATGTTGACCCCAACATAGACAAATCTACTTTAAAGGATTTTGCACCAGATGAAATTCACTTGACAAATAGAGTTCAACTCCAGAATCTTTTCAAAAATCAGGAATGTAAGGCTGATTTTGGGAAGATGACACTATTAGATGTCAAAGCCAATGTCTCCATGAATATGCGAAGACTCTGTACAGAATCCTCTGTGATGACCGGAGGGAAGCAGTTTGCAACTAAGTGAGTTCTTGTACTAATAGTTTCTCCCCTTATTTATATATTTTCTTGATTTTTCAATCATCTTACATGGGAAAATTGAGATGACATTGGTATTGAACTTAAGATTCAATGAATTTATTGAATTAAGTATAGAAAGGTGGCTGTTGAAAAATTATAATTTAATTGCAAAGAAATTTAACTGCTTTGATACTATGATACTCAGTAACATTTGCGATTTTTGATGCAGACCTCAAAATACTTTAGTTAAAGCCAAATATTTCATTTATAAAAATTACAAGGTCATTTGTGGCTTGAGGTCTTCAGTTGTTGCCACTCCCTCATTTCAAGGTAGAAATATTACATTTCCTACCTCTAAATGTAAACCTGATGCATATATGACATAAAATGGATCTTACATGTGCTCATGTTGTAATTATGACATGCAACTTGAAGAAAATGGACTGAGTACTACTGCTAGCACTAAGCAGAATTTTAAGAAGTAACTGTGCATCTTCTAGTCCAGTGTTTTTGGATGTTTCTTGGATGACTGGTGTGCAACCCAAAGCTAACAGCACAGTTTCAGTACAGAACTGGATGAGACTACTCTTCAACTAAACCCTGCATCAAGGATTAACTGTGTACCTCATTGCTTTTATGTATGCATCATGATCCTGAGGACTAGATTTTGCACTGGCCATTGGGAGATGGAATTAGCTAGGCTGCAGTAGCCCACTTTTATGTAATGTTGAAGACAAGGGTGACTTAGAAAGCACCTTTGGGAGGCAGGCATACCTGACTCAGTGAAATCCCTTTTCTACCCATGATCAAGAGATATTGAGGAAAACCTTGAAGGTTGAGTTGGATGGACATGTGGCTATTCACCTGGACGTGGCCTTAGTTTATCAATCAGAATATCAGTGTTATATGCTGTCTCAGCCCATTGCCAACAAATGTTGACATCCTTTCATGAATATTTCCTAAATAATGTTTTATTTATTTTGGAAATGGGAAGTGCTGCATTACATTCAGGTTCTTCTCAATGTTACTCTGATTTCATGCACACCAATCGACACCTCACCAAGACTAACACATTTAGTCATTTTTATTGCCTCTTGAGACCCCTTGCACAATACATTATTTTTGGAGAAAACCATTAAGAAAATTTTTAATTTGTTACATATGAAGTTTTCGTGCAATTAAAAGAATGTGTGGCACGAGAAAAATTTGAATACCAATTGGTATCATGGCAACTACCAAATGAGGGAAGCTCCACTCAAGTAAGATACTCAACTGTTAACATAACTGTCTAGTCTTGAAAAAATTTGACCTTCTGTAGACTGATGCAGAAGCTTGAAGTATTTTTGAACATTAGCTGGCTTAATTACTTTTTAAATTTAATTAAATATTCAACTAATGTTTTTCTGGTAATTTATATTATATTTTTTACTTTTTAAAAATGTTTATTTAACAAAAAGTAATTCTTGTGAAGACCCAAACCCACCTGGACTCTAGGTAAGACAAGGAAATATTGTGCACTCACCTTTAGTAATTCAACATTACAAATGCTTGCAGGTGGCTGTGGTACTTCAAGGACCGGAGTGACATATGGATGGAATATGGTTCTGCAACCCCTGAGCACAGCAGTCAGAGCAGTGTGAACTCTCATGAAATAGAGGGAGCTTTTTGCACTTCTCAGGGGAAAGGGACTTTGCCCTTCTCTACCGCTGAATACAGTTATGAAATTGACTTCCAGAGGATGGTGCAAAAGAACAAAGATGTAAGTTTTTCTCCTCTATCCTAATTTCAAAAATCATCACTGAATATCATACACTTCAATAGGAACTACTTTGAGCAGATATGCCCTACAAATATGAGCCTAATGTGGGGCTATTATTTAAAAATCAGTCCAAAACCCCAAAGGAAGAAATCCTTCTTTTTTAAAAACTTCTTTAGTTTTTAGCTTCAGTCATATATGAAGACTATGAGGAAGTCCTGAAACCTACAAGTTTGGAAGTTCTTGCCTTTTTCCTTTTACTCACCAGACTGATTGCTACTGTGCTACATAGATTATTTTAGAAACAATACAAATGGCTTAATGATCAGTATTTGCAAAACTATTTTGTCATTGATATGATGAGGCCTCTCTTTTTTCCTATTTGCTCTGCTAGCTCTGCTGAGGCCTCCAGAATCCCATGATGTCATGTTAGGGTTGAGCTGCTCAGCACTCTCATAGTTTGCTATTTTCCCCTGCCAGCTGCTTGCCCAAGAGTGACATCATTCAATGACGTGGTCATGTCTAGTGCTGATGAAAAGAGTGTCTTTTTTGCTGCAAACTGCTGGAGAGAAAGACCTGCCTGATATCTCAAAGAAGCAAGGAGGATAGGAGAGTTTGCCTGGGCCATGACTTAGTCAAATTAGTCACACATTTGATCTTGATTGAAGCCTCTGGCCTTATTCTCAAGCCTCATCTCCAAGAATCAGTAACTGGTTCAATTGTCAAGGTTCAGGTGAACCCTTGATGCTTCCTATCCAGCTTCTTTGAATTGCCATCTTGGACTAGAGAGAGATTTTTTGAAAAATCAGTGCTCTAGTGCTGGTTATAGGTCTCCACAAATGACTTTAAGAAGCCAAAAATAGTGAGAAAATGGGACTTATTGTCCATGAATAATTTTCTGTATCAAGGAATGATGAAAGAACATGATTAGCAAGGAAATTAAATTTCAAATTTTCAGAAATTCTTGTTTTTTACTACATAACTTTCTTCAGACTCCATGACAAAGGTCAACACCTGGGCAGCTACTACACGATAAACCCATTTTCAAATAAAGTTTTTTTTTCCATGGAGGAAAATGCGAGAAATTCACAGCCAACAATCACAGGTTTACCTGCATGCTTAGTAGCTGATGGCTTAAAAAATTTATTTTAAGTATATGGCTACTTTGAGTGGAAATTTTAGAAAAGGGAACTTAGAGTCAGTCTATGAAATATCTGTACCTATCAAGCACTTGGATAATGTACAGTATTGGAAAATTCATCATGTTCATGTTATAAAGCAACAGTATTCAAGGGCCACAAAAACAACTGTGTAAACTTTTCTGAATAGGCTGAGTAACAGTGGTACTTCATTTATTAAATATTTTAAAGAATAGAAAAAATATGTTTTGGAGAAAATGAAAGTTAAAGGACATTCATCAGATGATGACTCAAGTGTTTCAGGAATGAGTGCAACATCTATAGCTGACAAAGAGTTATTTGAGAGCATTCAGATGAGCTAATGAACATTATTGTAGCTGAAATAGTTTCTGAGGCATTAGGAATTTTAAGCTGCAAGGGCATCAATGCACCACACAAAGGCCAAAACTTTTGTTACCCCTTTTCTTGAAATCCTCTCAAAGGATGAGCACAGAACATATTGGCAGAGGTTTGTTTTTCTGTGGTGGCATGCAGTATGACAAATTTTTTCTGGATTTGTGAGGTGTGACCCCCACAGATATTGAGACATTCCAGATGGAATGATCCAGTGCTATTTTTTCTTTCAGCCAAGGTATGGCACTGAGAGGGAGGTGAAACGTCGCCCTGCCCCCCTAACGTCTGGAACATCAGAGGTTTCCCCTGCAAGTTACAGGCACACTCCAAAGCACTGGGATTCAATGCAAAACACAAATTGCAAGATGGTCAACCTGTCTCCATCATCCCCGGAGTACAAAAATGTTGTTGGCCTCCTACGTAGCACTGGAGTAACTATTCAAAAAGTAACCAGGGTTCAGAATCCATACTTATGGGAGATGTATCAGAATAAGAGGCTTATCTTGCTCAATACTGATTTCAAAGGCGATGAATCAAAGTTGAATGAGAAGAACCTTTTCCATGGCACATCCATTGCTAATGTTCAATCCATATGTGAGCAGAACTTTGACTGGAGGTTACATGGAAGTGCCCATGGATCTGCATATGGTCAAGGAGTATACTTTGCCACTGACCCAAAATTGTCTATGCAATATACTAGAGGGAATTGCATGTTTGTTGCCAAGGTTCTTATTGGCTTGTCCACACAAGGACAATCTGGCACGACGCGACCACCTGCAGGTTATCATTCCACTAGTGGGCCAAATATGATAATTAAGTATCATGATCAGGATTTCTACCCAGAATATGTCGTGGAGTATTGATGATTGCAAGTGGAAGTATGGTAGGTATGGTATTTGATTCATGATGGGCAATTCTCTTCCTAAGTTGGCTTTGCAATGAGAGCCCAGTAAATCAATCATACAAAGGGAAGAGATATCATCAATAAAAAATACATTTTCTCAACTCTGTTTTTGTGCCTTACTCAAGTGCTTTCTATTCATTTCCATTTTTTTTTTTAGCAAGTTAATGTTCAGGGCAACTTTTTTGCCTGATATAGACATGATATGGGTGATGTTTGGTGAAAATGCAAATTAATTCCTTTGAAAGTTCTTCTAAAAGAAAAATGGAGAAAAATATTCAGGAAAATAAATCCAGTACTACCTGGCAACTAATTCAGCCCATAAATTTGGTATTTAAACCTCGTTCTGCTGTCAAATGCTGCTGCCCATGTTTAATTCCTTTAATGCTACAACTGGAGAGTACAGTTTTTCTACGTTTATAATAACTTTTAATTCTTTATGGGCCATATGAATAGCTCATTTATAGCTCTTTTCCTTGTTATCCATTTCCTGCTAACCAAGAGGTGGACTTGATAACATAATATCTCCATTAGAGAATTAAGGTTAAATGGAGGTATGTAATTTCATGAATGAGTCTTGTGTGCAGAAGATTTGAGTTATCTATGAGGCCAGGCAGCATAATCTTTATATTTGTCATATATTGATATGGATCATTGATATAATTGATTTCCATTTGCTGTGTGCTTTAGGGCAGATATAGTTGCATTTCAATTCCTTCATGAATTATTGTTGGTTTTATGCAGAAAGATATGGAATTTGTGATCACATGGATGAGGTTTGTTTTTATGAAAGTACTGAATTTGCCTAGTCCTTATGAATTGTGGAAGAAAAATTTTGTTATGACTGTGATGCTGCTTTACACTTTAACCACACTCCTGCCATAAAAAATATAATCTCAGTTAATCCAGTGCCAGCATATGTTCTGTTATTACCTAGTCAAAAATTCCATCTGTAACCATTACATCTACCTAAATGCCCTAAAACCAGCTGGTTTTAAGCTTATCCCATCTGTGACAATTCCAAATGACCTATGCATAGTTCCAACTGGTATGAAGAAGGAATCAGAAGGTGGATCCAGCTGGTATTCATGTGGGATAAACAGATGGTTCCAGTTGGTATGCTAGTATGGAATTGGAAATTATGTCCAACTGGAATGAATATGAAATACAACTCTATACTAGTGGTTTGTTGGTGTTTTAAATATTATTGCTCATGGATTCAAGCTGGCAGGGAAGTGAAACATTCCATCTCAGTTCAGGTAAGTGTCTAGTTTCCAAAGTTCCACAGTTCAAAAGTGTCAAAAATTGCCTCTGATGTGACAATTACAAACAAAATTTTTCTTGAAAGGCACATAATTTTTACAATGCTCTCAGAAAGTAAAATGTTTGAAAAAAATCAAATGCAAGGCAAGAAAAAGATTCAATCTTCAAGCCTCATGACTGTCAAGAGTCCTTTCCATAATTGGTCCATTCTAAGTCACATATTCTCTCAGAAATCCGATGGTTCACTTTTCTCACATTCTTCCTCAGTTACTCTTGTGTCACCTAATGGTAACTCTGCCAAAGTGGTTATCAATGTGCATCAAATATAAAAGGTAATCATATTTGTGTTCAGGATGGAATTTTATTACATGGCTCTAATTTGTGCAGTACTTTCACTATTTGGTAAAGCATGATGACATGTTGATGGTGGACTAAAGAGATATTATTTCTGACCTCTGCCTGTCATCAGTTTGTATGAATATATTTTTGATATGATGAAGCATCAGCAGAGTGATCAGGGGAGAACCAGAATCTAATTTGGCATGAACCCAATAGGTTGCATGATTTAAAGTGATGAAAAATGGACAGGAGAGGCAGAATACAAGGTAGGAAGGAAGACATGGAATTGGGTGTCTGATATAGCCCTCTTTTTAAATCCTTTTTTTTTATTGCCTCCATTGTGTGATTATTCACCTTTTCTTCCATGGTTAATACTCCCCTGTGTCTTTCTCAAGATTGATATCCTGATGCTATAGGCTTTTTGAGTCTAAAACATCTAAAGGAAAGAACAAGTGGGGGAAGAAAAGAGGATTTTCATGCACTGATCAATGTCCATGAAAGTTAGCTTTTACCCCTCCCATAGTCTGACCATTTTTCCCCCCTAAAATGAGTATGTATGTTGAGTATGAGTATGAGTGTGTATGCGCTTTATTTATTTATATTTTGGCACATTTATAACTTGACTGATACTCCAATAGAGTATCAGTCAAGTTTTGAGCATTTTAGCAAGCAGAGAAGTTGATCATTGACACAATATTGATGCTGTGAATAGTCAGAAACTTGGTGCAGCTTCTTGCAAACCATCCATTGCAAATATGACAAGTGTAGATCCACTGAACTTTCTGTGTTTGTGCCTGTTTTTCCATGAGCCATATTGATCAGAAATTGATAATCACTAAGGGAAATTCATATTATCCATTATGTTATCCATTTGTGGAAGTGCACCTCTATGGTGCTATAAATCTATAATCTATCTATATCTATAAATTGGACTCTTCTGATCAAATTGAAGTAAAATGATGATCTTAACCATTCTGTTGCTGGGGAGTCCTGGTAGTACCCCAAGTTAAAATTTCTATCTTGAAATTTTATCTCAGCTTGTAATCCATTATTAGGTATGAGACTACTGGATGTTACCAGTGTGAAGTTATTTTTTTGCATCAATGAGGCTGGGGTACTTCAAGTACCTTGCCTCAGTAAAAACTGATCACTGTAGGTCTCAGTACCCAAAGGGTCAAGTTGAGTTTTCCATTGACAGCTGAGACTGCTCAAGGCGGACATACTGTATATTCAAGGCACCAAATAGTGCTAGAAAATTTTGTTTTTACAAATTGACGCAAGAAACCGTAATATTGCATTTTTAAACCCATGATTGTGTTCAGGACTTTTTTATTGTTGACCATAGACTTTCTTTTGGTGAGTGATAGTTGATTATCTATGTTGATATGAATGCAAATGAGTTATGCTTTAGTGCTTCCACAGATTCAAAACCCTGGTATACTTTCAGGATTGTGTTAGAATTTTATGGCAATCACTGCAACTAGCCACACTTCACATTGATGTGGCTGGCATGAGCATTCTTCTCATGCCCTGTCCTGAACATTGCTAATATGAAGCTGATATGTCCATTTGAAACAAAGTTTGGAAACTTCAAAGATTCAATCATTTGCAGTGCAAAATTCTTAACTCCATCCCATAAATATTCATGTTGTAAATGCTCCTCTGTAAACTGTGGAGCCACAGACATGAGGAACATGTGCTGCACATGTTCCTCATCTCACCCATGCACTAATGCCAATTGTCCACATTGGAATATATTGTAATTTCAGGTCGGCAAAAATGGTCCAATGTGTCCTCTCCAATACGAAACAATCAAATACTTTTTGTGACTTATTTTACTTCCTGATATGTGTAGCCTTGATTGTCACTCTTTTTGAGAGAACAGTTAAAGGAAAGAATGTGGGCTTAGGTTTGGACTTGTTGCATCTGGATCCAGGAAAAGCAATTGAAGTAGAAGTTCGTCGCATGAAAAAAACTATGCAGCATTTCCAAATATGGTTGAATCTTACATGTATGAGTCAGAAGTTGGAAAAAAATATTTTGCCCTTGCAGTTAAGTTCATGGTGATGAGACAAGAATAGAGGTTAAGAGAGGTCATCACTGTATGTGAAGCAGAAAGGAAACAGGTTCTGCTTTTTTGGAATTCCAAATCCCAAATCTCATCAGTGTGTGGCCATGGGAGAGATGCAATGCAGTTGCTCTCTTTGTATCACTTCAAGGGTGGATGTTCCTGTCATCAACACTCCCAATAGGGACATGACTTGTGTGAAGGGATGTTGGAAAGAAGGATGGTTTTGTCATCAGTGCATCATGAGGGTCAAGTGAGAGTGAGTCATTATGTGAGATCTTATGTGTGGTACTATTCTAGGATTAAGGAGGGATCTGCAAAGTGTTTTGACAATGACAATTCGTCATTAAGAGCATATGAACCAGACTGGTCACTTATTATTGTGGAATGCATACACATACCAATCTCCTTTCCATTCTTTTTCTGTCATATTTTCTATTGGTTTTAGTCTTGTCACTTTCTCACTGAACTGCATGGCTGAACCCTTGAAATTTACCTGCCTTGGACCAAACTTTTCCACCTATCCTCCACTTGAAGAATGTTAATTGCAATGAGAAAAAAAGGAATACTTAAAATATTCTCTATCCACTGTCCCATTTATGAAGTAAACCCCACTTGTCACAACAATGAAATCCAGAAGCTCAATAATTATCACCCAGCACCTTGTCAAAATCATGGTGGCACACAGAATTTGCTTTTCCTGAACACAGCATGTTGGACAGTCTGATTATAGTAACCATTTGAGTTGACCCAGCAAAACTTTCTTGTTGCCCCCTATTAGACTGGTATTCGTTTTAGTGCACTTCCTTGTGCAGTCTTTCTTATGCCTGTCAGTATGTAACTTTTGATGATTCATTATGAATCTTACAAGGGAGCATTGGGAAAACATCAAGAGAACCATGACAACACTGGGATAAAACAAGTCTCTGGATGCATTCAATGGGATTCTTGGACACCAGCTAAAAAGGTTCTATCAGAGCAAACCTGACAGTTTGAGGAAGTTAAGTACCCATTAAAATACCTTGACAGCCTTCTGGAAGTTGTAATGGGTATCTTGGAGTTCTGATTGATCACTGATGGAACTCCAGAAGAGAATCAGTTATTGTTACCACCAGGTTTGATGAAGCCTTCATACCACATGTTGGGGTTGGTGCTGTTTCATACTATATACTTCCTGTGATTTCTTGTTCCTTCAAGTGCTCTATCACAAGGATTGGGGATAGAAGGATAAAGTTATTCTGGAATGTTTTTATTCTTATTTTTGGAATATGCGTCCTTTGTCGCACTATAAAATTAATTATTGATGCCCCGAGCAATATTTTAGTTTCAATTTGAGCCTCATCAGGTACCAGTTCTTAACCCTCTCAATCCTGAGTTAAAATATATAAATGATGTGAAAAGAAGTTTCCCCATTAAACTGTCCACAATGAAATGTAATTTACCATAAAATACAAATTCCAAAAGAGGTCACAGGGAATCATGTCCCACTAGGTCTATAGGTAATACATTCCTATGTAGCCCTGCAAAATATAAAGTATGGGACTCCTGAGTCCCACTAGGACTGAAAGGGTTAAATGAGGTTGTAAGAGTGAAAGAGTATGGCTAAGGCTAAGGATCTTGCAAAAAGAGTGTGAAGGAGGCAGAGACAGGTAAAATGATAATTCTGATGACAATATGAATTCTTCTTCAGTGAATGCATTGGAGAAGCCATGGGAAGTTGAGGCCATGGATTGTGAAGAAGTGGGGGAATACAGAGAAGTGTGTCAAGACTGGCCCCTTTGCAAACTTGGCAGGGAGTGTAGTTTTGCTCATCCTGAGGTTCTGTGCAAGTAAGTCATTGTTGATTGCCAGGGACAGTGTTGATGTCATGGCATTTTCAGTCTAAAATGGTTGTCTTTTTTCCCAGAACCTTCCCAAATTGTGAGCTTGGGAATCAGTGCACATTTGTTCATCCCAAGTGCTGCTTCGATGCTGCCTGCACGCAACCAGACTGTGTGTTTTCTCATTCGGTTCCCTTGTTACCTTTGGATGACTCATTGACAGCCACAACAGACTTTCCCTGGCAATTTCAACATCCAGAACTCCACAAGTGGATTTATTTCACAGAATCTCAGAGTCTCTACCTGGAGAAGCATTATGCTGACCCAAACATTGATAGGCTCACTCTAAAAGACTTTGGAGTTCCTGGCAATGGTGATGCAAGGAACTGCATGGGGATCCTGCATTCATTCAGGGATTCTGAGTGGGAGGTTGAGTTCATTATGATGATGCTTTACTCTGTGCAAAGCAACCTTCAGATGAAGATTAGAAGAATTGGGACAAAATCAGCAGTCATGAATGGAAGGAGGATGCTTACTTCTGTGTGAGTTAATATCCATTGAATTATCCAACCAAATCTAATCCTTGACTTTCCTCTTGAGTGAGCTGGTGGAAATCTGGTGAGGTAAATTATGTTATTTAATGTTAATTGGCTAGAGATGATATGGAGCTCACCTGTGAAACTGCCAAGTCTGCACAATTTGACTCAATGTTGATAGGTTGATTATGTTGATGGGATGTTGATCCCTGATGATCTGATGCATAGTCAGCTTTGACTTAATGCTGAAAGTGGCAACATGGAATACATACATGAAATACATGGAATCCATATTGCACATCAGTTAAATACTCAATGTTCTGTCAACATGACATCAACAGATATCGAACAAGACACCTAACAGTTATTTGAATAAGCAAGGTTCATTGAGCAAATCACCAATGCAACAAGTTACTTTGTGCATGTTACTGGCATAGTTCCTCAGTATTTGATATAATTCCCTAGTTTTTTTCAAACTGTACTCAGTCATTTCTCCTAAGACAACACCACAAAGGTATTGGAGTTCTGCAAAGCATTTGAGAGAAGAAACGACCTAAAATGAGACCCAGGGTAATTTTGAATCCAAAAATGAAGTGAGGAAAGTCCATGTGGTCATTGACTCAATGGGACAACCCACCCCAGCCAGGGAGAGACATTCCAAATCTAGTCCTCTTGGTCATACAACAGGCTCTATAATAGTTGTCAGCAACAGGCAGTACATTGCCAGATCAGACCCATGGAAACCCTCCTAGCCCACAAAGACTTGGCTATTACATATTACAGTCTGACAGTTGAGATTCAGTTGTACATTTGACATTGGATGTTCTTTAATATTTTCATTATAATGAAACTTGATGGGTGTTGGCTTGCAAACAAGCATCATTCTGCCATCCAGCCCCTCATGAAATTCAGTTGCTGAGCACTGCTCTATGGATTCATATGCAGCCACCTCTTCATTGGCTGCAAATTGATGTATTGTCCTCTTGCTTCCATGGGACTAAGATGGCCCTCTCTGTCAGCATTGAATTCAATGACTATAGCTTGAGTAAATACCCTGAGATCATGCTGATATAATACCAACTCACTGTTCACTGCACCTCTGTATTGTTGAGCCCTGTCTCATTTGAAAGCCAATGTACAGGGTGTTCCAAAATGAGTCCCTTGACACCCCCCCCCCAATTTTTTCTTCTTGTTTCAGGTGAATTATGGTTAGGATTTGTGTAGATATGAGTGACGAAGGCTCTTTTACACTAAAGCATGAATGTTGAACATTTAGTGATGAATTTTTGGGTGCATTAGCAACAACAAAGTGAGAAAAATATGTCATGTTCATTTGCGGCCTTTTGAGCCAGATTTGGCAAAAATCCTCTATAAAATGTCTCATTGCAACTGGCACCTCAACATTCTGGTTTCAAAAAAATAGTGACACTCATACTGATCCCCTTGATCTCCAATTGATCCCCAGTTTCTCATATGAGGGTTATTAAATGTTAATATGAATGTTGTTTCAAATGGCATATGTTTCATTTTTCTGCCACTATTCTTCACTATTATTCACAAGAAAAAAAAGGGGGGGGGGGTGTTGAGGGACTTATGGAACACCCTGTAGGTTCAGCATTGGAACATTGAATTGATCAATGCTCTTTAACAGATTGACAGCCACAAGGCACACCAGTGCACCTCACTGAATGGGAAAGTCAATTGGCCAGCGTGGTTGAGGTGGTCAGCATGTTAAGATTGCTGCAATACTTTTTTATTATTGGGGCAATATTGTTTTGCAGTCTGGGTTTTGAGAATTTCTTTGGATGTCATGGCTGATTTGCATTTAAAAGAAAATCCAAGTTCATTGCATTATTATTAGTGCAAGCTGAAGTTGACCATTCTAGTTTATACCAGTATGTTGTGGTGATAGGGAATGATTTAAAATACAGGGTGTTGCAGAATCTAGTAATCAATGAGAATGTCATCCAATGCAACCTTTCTTCATTGTCATTGATAACTGAGAGATGATCAAATGATGTAACTCAGAAAAATAAGCTCTTAGATGTCATTCTGCAGTGTAGGTCATTGTCAAAATCTAAGTTTTACATGGTAAACATATTGCATACCTGTAAATGAAAATACTGTATTTTCATTTATTTCTGAATTACGAGATTCCCTATACTTTCACCCGTATCTAAACTAGAAGTAAAAAGTGTACATGGTGATGTACCTTAACAAATGCTTTTTGCTTTGCATTGAAGAAGAAAGTATATGTATGTTTCACATGTTCATATAAAGCTTTTTTCCCCAGATATCTGAATGTAACAATGGTAGCTCCTGTGTAGGAAAACCAAAAGTTGAATATAGGGCAGAATGATGCTAGTATCAACTATTGAAGTGGAACATATTATTTTGATATTTTGATGTGTGATAGTCCTTCCTGAGAATTCTGGATTATGTAAGCAGCACTGGAGTGTCAGTAGTGGTGTCACATCTGATACTGTTAATTCAGTAATTTATTATAAAGATGGTGCTTATACATCAGTGTCATATCTACCATATGCATTCACTAGTTTCATATCTATTAAGATGTTATATTTTTTAATAATTTATTTAAATTTTAGAAGAGTTAAATATGTTTATTTAGACAAATGCTGCTGATTGAATTGCTAGTTAAATTCCCCTGTATCAGCATGTAGACAAGTCTGGATTACAATAACGTTTCTGAGCATACACCATTAATAAGGATAGCCTCATAGATTCTGTTATGGATGAATATAACATTGTCATTTATTTTCCATGATTCATACAGATGGCTATGGTACTTCAAGGACCAGACAGGTGCATGGGTGGAGTATGGCTCTTCAACTGGGGGAGTGTTGAGTAGTTCTGGTAGAGTGTTGAGTTCATGCAAGATCCAGAGTAACGTTGCATCTCAAGATATTGAGAGAGCATATCTTGCTTCTCAGGGGAAAGGAACACTGCTCTTTCATACTGATCACCATCCATATGAGCTTGACTTTCAAAGGATGGTGCAGAAGAACACAAATGTAAGCTTTAGCTGATATTGCTTGTTCAGAAATTATGTTATTAAGTAGTTATATTAACCATCAAGATAATGTCCTACTCTGGTGTATAGATATTGTTCAGTGAGGCTTAATGTTCAATATACCCAAAATGAGTTGATGAAATTACTATAATCTCAGGTAAGACTATTATTCCAGGCAATTCACATACACCTACTTAGCAAAACTCAATTGGATATTCTGGATTTTGTATGATTTGTGATGTGGATTGAACATTGCTGGTATCTTCATCTGTTTCAGATAAAATATGGTACAGAGAGAGAAGTGAAACGTCGTCCTGCCCCACCAACTTCCTCCATACTATCTGAAGTTCCTCTTGAAGGCTTCAGATACACCCCAAAGCATTGGCTTCCTATGCATGACCCATCCAGCAAGTTCCGTTTGGTAACCTTGTCTCCCACTTCACAAGAGCACATGGATGTTGCTAGCCTCTTTCAAGAAGCTGGGGTAGGCATTCAGAAAGTTATTAGAGTCCAGAACCCATACCTCTGGGAGGTTTATCAGAGCAAGAAGCTGATCTTGCTCAGTACAGATTTCAAAAATGATCCTTCTATGCTGAATGAGAAATTTCTCTTTCATGGGACAATAGCTACCAACATACCTGCCATATGTGAGCAGAACTTTGACTGGAGGCTGCATGGAACTTCTCATGCATCATTATATGGCCAGGGGGTATACTTTGCCACTGACCCAAAGTTGTCCATGAAGTATGCAAGAGGTGGGAGTTGCATGTTTGTTGCTAAGGTTCTTATTGGCTTGACCACTCTGGGATGTGCTGCCATGACAAGGCCTCCCTTGGGTTATCATTCTACATGTGGGCCTAATATGATTATTAAGTATCATGATCAAGACTTCTACCCTGCATATCTTGTTGAGTATTGATGATGCAAGTGAACTAATAATAGATGTGTCAGTCTTGAGAAATTTCATTTTGGGACGATGAGAAAAGAGTTTCCGCTCTTCCTGCTCAAATAATTTTTCTTATGTTTGACAAGACATGTTAAAAAAAATGCCTCAACCATTCATGTGTCAACTCCATGTTCTCTATTATATATAATAAATCTCTAATATATATTGAATGTGCTACTGGCATTGCATCATGAAAGCTCTTCACTCAGGATTAGAAAGAAACTTTTTCACAGGTGTGAAGGGTTTCATTTTCTGATTTTTTTCTCAGTATTATTGATACTTTTGTATGCTGGACATTCATCACTGGTGTAGTTTTGTCTTGGAAGGATGTTGAAAAAGTCTCTGCTATGTGGTGATCATATATGTGCAATAAGGATCAAGGGAAATCAATCTCTGAATTCTCTTGAAAATGTTGTTTCTTCAAGTTCTTGTTTGCTTGCCTGTTTCTGCAATATGCATTATATGTGAAGTATTGATGGAATCACGAAATGTATTTCTCCCTCTATCTATCATTATGGTTTGCTGCAAGAAAGGACATGTAAAATTTTTATTTTGCATGAATGTGATATTGATTTACTTTAACATTATGGTGAATATTTATTTTAAAATTATTTCTATGTTTTTATATCATTAGTAGAGATGAAAGTTTTCTTATTGAAGGCATATTTTATTGAAGGCGTATATGAAGAAATGTTAATTATGCACTTCTAATTTTAAATATATATATATTTTTTGCTACTATGGCTTGAGTTGCACTGTATTGCCTGAGCTACCAGTCTTACCAGTTCAATGCTTAGCTAATTGCTCAGAACTTTTTACTTGTGACTTTATCATTAACCCTTTAACTGGGAAATGCTTCTTCATTCATTCTCCCAAAATTTTTCATCTGTACTCACATCCAAGCCAAGGTAAGTGTTCAGTATAAGTTGACAGTAGAATGCACCTCAATACGCTGAAATAGTGAAAAAGGTAATATATCTTTCAAAGCAAACTGCACTCACGATCAGAAGTGAAAAAAATCTTACCATGTGAAAGTTTCTCCTTAAAAGCACTTCCCAGTTAAGGGGATCAAATAAAACAGGAGGAAGAAATAAGGCTTGTTTTAGCTGTTGGACTTCAGCAGTACAGTTATTTGGTACATGGCTGGGAGAAAAGAGGTTAAGAACTTGCATGATAATCATGATACATAAAGGAGAAGGAAGATATATCATGGTCTTCTTGCACATGCGCAGCATCATGCTTGCTCACATTATTATTAAATTGTGTGCAGCCCTAGGTGTCAACAGATTCTTTGCATCTTTCCTGGGGGAATCCATTCATGTCTTTCACAATCCTGCATTACTACTTTGATCTCTCTGAGTTTGACTGCAACTAGCCACATTCTCATTGAAATGTGGTTGGCATGAGGTTTCATGCCCTGTCCTTTCATGAGCAGGGTTTGATCATTGGTCATAGTGCTTAGTATGAGTCATTTCCCAGCATTGCTACTTTGTCCCTTTTGTGAAGGTGCAGAAAATCAGGTTAAAGCTTTAACCCTTTCTGATCCATTTTATTTGTAATGCTATGGAGATTGCTGGACTATGTCCACCAGTGTACCACAAAGGGTTAAAGTTTGATGAACCTTGAGCCTCAGTTGTCTTAACATTATTTTTATCAGGAAAAGTAGATAATGCAAGCTTGATACATGAAGTTGGACTGTATTTTATTTTAGAAAAGGAAAACCCCAGACCAGTTACACTATTGAATGAGCCTCATCCCAGTTGTTACTAATCAATCATATAGCCCAGGGCTGCTCAAAGGATTTTCAGGGGCCTGGGGCAAAACTATACCAGAGACCCCCTTGGGTCCCCGTAATATGTGAGGCCCGGGGCAGATTGCCCACTTTACCCTCCTCCTCCTCTGGGCGGCCCTGCCTTTGCAACCCCCAGGGTGGGTGGCCATAATGACATAAATAAATTCGCATAGACAAGCATACTGGTATGCACATGCACTCCCAGTCACAATCACCACAAGAATACTGGTATGTATTAGTGTTGTCCAGCTCTTCTTGATGTCATGCAATGTGGCTGGCTATTGATTAATGATGATTGAAATATTGATGAGATTGCAAGGGATGGGTCCATCTCAAGGCAATGTTCTCAATTTTCCATGATTGTTTGCAAATGCTTGAAATCTACACAAGACAGATTCACAATGCCTTCATGTCTACGCATAAGATGGAGTAAGATTATTCAGTTTCTTTTCCGGTCTGGAAGCTTGGCATAAAGTATGAGAAACATAAGTTCGGAAATACAGTACATTCACTTGTGTCATATCTTCGTAAATATGATGTCCTCTTGAGATAAAGAACGTTTAGAATTGACAAAAGCTCAGTTGCGGCATGTTTTTAGAGAAATTGTATTTTGGAGCTCTGTCCGAACTTTCATAATGGGACATGTAACTTCGGACACCGTCGAGCACATGCCAAAAAGTACAAAATCATATATTTCTTTGCGCACCTAAGTGTGCAACTTGCCTCCAAAGCAGTGCAATCATGTTGTGAGGTTGGAATGCAAGGGATCCCACGCAGCACAGGGATATCCCAGGGATGTCCCTAACTGGACGACTTGTCCCCATGTCTTTATAGGATATCCTGAAGACATCTTCTTTCGGACAGTTTCGGACATCTCGTAAGGGATGTCTTCGGGACGTCTTTTAGACATCTTCAGTCGATATCTTAGAGATATCCCGAAAGGGATATCTTTAAGACATCCTTAAGTCGATTGCTTCTGGATATCCTGGAGGGGGTATCTTGAAGATATCTTCAGTCAAACGCTTTTCGATATCTTGAGGAGGATGTCTTAGGGACATCTTAGGAATGTCATTAAGCATTTTCAGTGCTTTCTGTCGCCTTCAGTCAGGTGCACAGCTTCGGCGGTAGGTGTCTCCAGTGAGCCCTGATCTACAACCTCAAATCTTTTCTATCGAATTCATCAACTTGATTTGTCCTGAGGACAAGTAAGAATTTTCGTACCATACATAAGGAAAACTGCCATCAGGGAAAGTGAAAAAATTGCGGTCCGAATTTTAATTTATTCCTTTATATTCTCATTAATGATGTCTGATTGGCATGTCTGGATCCAACTATATTGGTTGGAGGCCTGAGCCCATACTGTTTGAAAGGCATAAGACTACATCATATAATCCATGACCCTTCGTGTAAAAGTGCTAAATTTCGTCCCTTGGAGATGTGTCTCCTATGGTGGGGCTTCCTTTAGGAATGGTATTTTCCTCCCCCTTAATCGTTACCCTTCAATCGATCAAGAACTTTAGATTAGGTGTTTATATATAAAATAGACATCTACGAAACCAAAGGGTTCTCCTGTGCGATAGGAAATGAGTCCATATAGGTAGGAAGGAATAGGAAGGCCCCTACAAGTACTACCTGAGACTTCTCACTTGTCTCAATGGGATATCCCTGGGACATCTCTGGGATGTGCTATTTCTTCAAGAAAGAGATATCCTTGGGATGTCATTGGGCCCAGACATTTTGATATCCCTAAGATGTCCCTACTCCTTGTCTCTGGGACATTGCACTTGTCCCAAGGGGATATCTCTGGGATATACCTGTGCTGTGTGGGAGGTGACAAATATGACATTGGAATCATTGCAGTACCCACTCAAAATGTATAAAAATAAAAATAAACAACAAATCAATGAAATGGATCTTTCTTGTTGGACAGCATGTCTTTCAGACACAAATTTACCTATTATTTTAATTTATATCTAAATTGCTGCTGTCAGAGATTTTAATATGAATGTACAATGTTTGATGATCTGCTGTTGCTTTCAATGAAGAAAACGTCATATTTGCTCTTTGTGATATTGTGATTAAGTGCTACAATTGGATGCTCTGTTATTTATCAATTGATGTTACCCAAAGTTTATGAAATACCCTCAAAATGTGATGCTCAAACAAATGAAAAACCTTAGTATGTAAAGTCTGTTGATGATTGGCAAGGTTATCTATATTCATTAAGCAGTGTGGGTTCAAAGTATTATACAAAGTAATCAGGTATGGGATGCCTTCTGTACTCTACAGATGGTGATATTTATATGCACTTTATAGTAACTTTAGACTCACTCTGTATGTAAAATATTTTACCCTCAGTTGAATTTAACACTTGTTGTGTCATATTTTCAGGGTAATGGGCATGAACATGATTTCACATCTGATCAAAATGTGTTCATCATGGACATGTACAATCCTGACATATACCCTGGAGATCATGTTGCAGAGAGAGGAATCTCATGTCCAGTCCGAGTCAAATCTGGGACTCAGGATGAGGCATATCTGGAAGCCCTAGACAGGTGAGATGTTGAGCAATGTGACATTAGGTCATATGAGGGGTGTTCAATAAATAAGGTAACATGGCCTGCTGCAAAGAAGCTATTGTTTGTGTCTAGGAACTTTTTTGGTGATGTAGTATAGTGATGATTAGGTTTCCATTGCACATATGGATTGATCGCTCTGTAGTACTGTACATGAGTAAAATGCCAATTATGATGGTGGCCCTCCTAGAAACATGGTCAAACGTTGAAGTGCAGAGTGTTATTTGCTTTCTTTGTGCATGAGGCACCACACCTGCAGAAATCCATCGCCAAGTTGTAAAGGTTTATGGGGAACATGCCATGTCTTGAAAACAAGTGTGGGTTTGGTGCAAAGCCTTCGATTCTGGGTGAATGAATGTCATCGAGGAACAGTGACCAGGTCTACCACCACACCCATACTTGTTTTCGAGACATGGCATGTTCTCCATAAACCTTTACAACTTGGTGATGGCTTTCTGGATTTCACCTTGTATATAAAGTACATGATCGTAAAAAATAATACATAATAAATCCTTTAAAAAATTTTGCTGTTTTCCCTTTCAACAAAAGTAAAAAAGGTAAAAAAGTAAATTGAAGTAATTTATCACAACTGCAGTCAGCTGCACACCTGAGCTACCCATATATGGTGAGGAGATGGAAAACCTTATGTAGATGTGATGTTCACAATCTCAGATGCCCCCATTTTCTGCAACGGTACCACATATTTGTAACTATCATTGAGGTAGAATGGGAACTCAATATCAGAATTGTGCAGATGCACATCTTACAGGCTGCCTAGACACATTCACTTGTAATGTGCAATTAGCAGAAAAACTGCAATGTTTTTTCTGTTCTATTCTCCTCAGGTACTTGGATGAATCCTTAAACATGTTCACACCTGATCTGGTGGTGTATAATGCCGGCACTGACTCATATGCAGAGGACCCTGAAGGCTGCTTGCTCATCTCCAAGCAGGGCTTGATAAGGAGAGATGAACTCGTTTTTGGGAAAGTTCGTGGTCATGGAATTCCTATTGCTATGGTCCTCAGTGGAGGTTCTCTACGAGTAATGGCTGACATCGTTGCACTCTCTATTTGCAATCTTTTGGAGAAAGGCATAATATCATTTCCTACTTAGGTCTCCTCACCCCTTTGGAAGATCCAATGTCCTTGATACTGGAGACCCGTGCAGCTTTTGTAAATCTAGGGGCTAGGATTTGGCTCTGGAGTTCAAAGCAAGTTGTGTTCTGTTCATCTGTTGGGAGATGAAAAAGTTTACATTGGTCACTCTTGGCATCTGGAGCAAAATGGTTTTACATCCCCTGACCTATGTGAAGTTGACTCACTCCCAATAATTCCTCTGATTCTGAAATAAATGAATCTACTGGTGCTTGGTAGTTGACATTATCAAAAGCTATTGAGGAAGTTCAAAGTCATGTCTCACTCTGCAACAGAAGTCCACATTGAAATGAGAAGGGGACTGTCATTGCTGGATCCCTCTTTCCCTCATTCATCAATGTGATATGTTCATGATAGGAATAATCTTCAAGAGAATGAAAAAACTTTTCATATTGGTTTGTATTTGCATAAAGAACTTCCTACAGAGACAAGCTTTTGTTCTCCATGAATGCCAAAACAATCACAGTAAAATCTCATGAGGCATTTGTGGCCCCAAGATCACTTCATAACCAATCATTCCAGCATTATCAGTGACTTAAAGTTTTCTTGCACTGGGTCAGTCACATACCAGAAATACATCACACCTGAAAGTCACAGCTTTATACATGGAAGTCAGATCGCATTCAAGGGTTATCATATTTTATGAGTTTCTTGGTCTAATGAGAAAATAATGAAGTCAAACACAACAAGGAAATTCAATTACATTGCTATGCTGCATGGGAGAGTCAAAAGCAATGTAAGGAAAACCACATGGATTATTTCTCTGGCTGTTGGAATAAAAAAAAAAACATAACTCAACTAGACCACATCACTCCCGTGACCAGCCCAATTATCAAAAACTTACTCAACATGTCCTGAAATATTGAAGTTTGCCATTCAGTTTCAATGATACCTACATCTGCAGCAAAGCAATGGGTAATTTTAACAAGAAGGTATGGCTGAGGAATACAGTTATTGCATTTGACTTTCCATATGTCTACTGGGTGATTCAAAAGTCACTGGCTAATAAACTTTTATAAAACAAAGCCAAATTGATTTGGTTCATGAAAAGTAGGAAACAAAAAATGTAAATGGTACAGCAATATAGTGGATGGAAGGATCAAACACAAAGATTGCATTCCTGCAGTATAGTTAGAGAATTAAAAATAATCTAATTTCAGCCTTACCTCTTGCTGTTTCAGCACAATCCTGAAGCCTCAAAATAATCTCCTGAATCACTCTTCTTAATATTGATGTTGCTTTACATTGGATAACACCTTCCAATTATGTAATATATCCAGGCTTCCCTACATGAACATTTCAGCATGTAACCTAGGCTCCTGGCAGGCCAATCAAGAATCCTATTGCTCCCAATATGGAGACATGGCTTTAAATGCATCAAAGTCCAGCATAGCAACACATTTGCCTATCCTTATGCCACTTTTGATGCTCCCACATAGCACTGTAATACATTTTAATTCTCTTTGTACATATAACTTTCTTACACTCATATTTTACTTGGAAAATTTATGGTATGCACCACTGTATGTTAGAAGGAAGCCTGAATCAACTGGAGGGGGAGGGGGGGTGAAGAATGACCCTTTCTTTCACTTCATATCCTCTTCCTTTTCCTCTAGTAGGAATTCCTTGACAAGGGCATTGAACTCTTCAGGTTGTCTCAGATGAAGGTTATGCTTTGCCCCTTCCATCACATGAAGTCTACAGGAAGGAAAACGAGAAAATCGTTAAAAATGAAAGGACCACATAAAAAGGCTCAATCTTGGGTTACTTTGTGAAATTTAGGGAAGGAGAAATTCAAGCAAAAGTGACAAGATGGATTACCTAAGGAGCAATGTGAAAGCTAAACAAATCTAGGTTCAATTGAAATGAGTCTCCATGCATTATCAACTTCTTGATGATTGCAAAAATGTTGACCTTGAAGGCAATTTTCTTCTTGAGAAAAAAAAAAGAAAGGCATTGAAAAAGGATATGACATTCACCTTGATTTTGGAATGTTCTTATGAATGAATTGGGGATGTTCATCTGGTACAAGTGGATCCTTGCTACCATGCACCACTAATGTGGGGCATGAGATACCTTTAAGGTCATGTTTACAGAGGTCTCCTCTGCAGGAAACAAAGATATCTCCCATGAGTTCAACCCATCCATTCCACATGCTCCGAAAGTGGTCCTTCCCATACATATTCTCCATTGGTGCTCTCATTTTTGGGCTCCAGGTATCTATATCTCTCACTTCTGCAAAGGTGGCAATTGTATGATGAAAAAAAACCTTCTGAATCATTTCATGGACCTGAGTGAAGACAGATAACCTGACTAACATTCTCAGAGAAAAGCAACACATACTTTCAAGAAGGTGAAGATCATTGAGAGTGACATAGGCATTGGCTCCCCAGACTACCAGTTTTTGGATATTTGAGAGATGTGTCCCAGCAAGAATGAGAGCAGTGATTCCTCCATCACTCCATCCCAGAAGAGAGTATCGCTCCACTCCCAATGCCTACACAATAAAAATTTTCAAGTTTTCCTTTATGAAACTGCACACCAGTTCTCTTTTCTTTCTAAATTCCCTTTTTTCTCTTTTTTTTCTCTCACACTCAAGGTTCTTTTTTAACTTTAGCAAAGTGACTTAAATGCATATAAAGTGTATTTATATTAATTAACAGGGATGCTCAATTCTCCAATTATCTAATGATCCTTTCATAAAATTTTGACCTATAGTGAATTTTGTTTTGTTTTCTTATGTTTTTGAAGAGAACATTCAACATACCCCTGTACAATGATTCATCCTGTGAACTCTGCTTATTTGGTTGACAATGGACTCACCAAGTTCATCCAAAAGTATGAAGTGGATGTGAAAACTACAAAGACACTCAGATTTCACAGAAGGGAGAATTTACCTGCATGAGTGCAGCAGCAACATATGCATCTTCATGGAAGATATTCACATTAAACTTCCTCTCTGGAGGGCGACTCTTTCCATACCCAGGTGGATCCCAAGCTATCACAGTGAAGTCACCACCACTACCCAGTCCTTTCAGCTGAGGTTCAAAGTCTGACATCCCTGATCCTACATGAATGAAACATGCATTTTGCAGATTTGGTGATTTGCCACCATAGATCATGTACAGCTGAGAGACTATACTGTAGATGCCTTGTTTGGAAAATAATTTATTTTCTCTGAAATATCTTAGACTAGAGATATCCTTGTCTCAAATCATGAATGCAATAGTGAAAAATGATATGAATTGGGTGAGACCAGGTCTACAACAAAAAGGAACAAGGTTTTAGTGTATAAGATTTGTCTTGGATGAAATATCTGCCAGTGATGCAGAAAGAAATTCTGACTCAGACCTAATTTTCCCTCAATCTCAGACACATTAACCGCTTGGAAGAAAAAAAACTTGCATGATGGTCCTAATGACCCTTACAGTGAAGAGAGTTGGATCTATGGATATATATACCCGCAATGGATCATACCTTGCATATATTAATGGATTCTGCACCCTTTCATGAAGATGTAATGTTAAAGTATCAGAATTAAATCATACACTCAAAGTTGAGATCTGCTTTTGCTATAGTTCCAATTGCAGAGAAGGCTTTCTAACAGCTGGTTGGAACAAAAGAGACAAGATAGAGTGCATTAAGAGAGCATATATAGCAGGTTATTGGTAATTTGGTCTATCCTCTAAGTTCTAATCATTCCCTCTTAGTAACCAACTGTTGGTATTTTGCTGCCTTCTCTGCTATCAGCTGCACTTGATTATGGTGTAATTCCTAGAATATTTAAACTGCAAACATTTCTAATTCACCAGATTCTCACATTTCAATCAACTCATCCAAGCAATGGAAATATTCAATCACACTTATCTGATGCCTACTTTTTCTTACCTTCCCAATGCATATGATCACCACATTACATGTTCTATCAATGAGGGAAAGAAGAATAGAAAAAAAAACTCTGGTAAAAGCATCCATGAAAGCCTGTTGACAAGTATGCTCTGTTCCTTATGCTACTCCTTTCCTTGCGCAGACTTTCAAATAAACAATAAACTTTAAACCATATAAATCAAGAGTAACTATAAGTATACAAGAACAGTCTTTGAAGATTAATTGTACCAAACATAATAGTGACATGTGAATGTAAGTTGCAAGAGTGACATGGAAAACAGGTATTCTACATTCTGATTTTGATTATATGCCAACTTTTCCAACATGTACAAGTGATTCTGTTATCGTATATAACATCAGGAACTCACCAAGGGCCCCAGGTAGACATAATATGTGGTGACTTCCTGAACCAGCCTTGTGGAAATGAATGACTTGATCTCGTAAATGGATTTTGTCACTCTGTATTGCCGCAGCATTCGTGCAGTATCTAAACAGTTGGATTTCCCAAAAAAAGCTCATTTTCAATAATCATCCTACATCTAAAACAAAGAAAAATTTAAAGCAGGAGATGACATTGCTTAAAGTTATAGCAATATGCTAAGAAACCAGACCATTGACTTAATATAGAGAGTGAGGACCCATGGGGTTATGGATCATTGAGAATAAATTGAAGAAATCCAAAAACTTCCCCGGGCCAGGAGATGCAATGGAAGATGCTATCAGGCAATCAAAATACCAGAGACCCATATTGCCCAGAGCATTTCAGTGCAGAAGATACTGTTTCTCTCTTTTACAAATCACAAATTCCTGTATTTCTTCTCCGCTAAGACATAAGACATTTAGACAAAGAACAGGAATGGATAATGAAACTTTCTCTCTCATCAGTGATGAAAGACTTCTACATCAACAATAACCTTCAGAACAATTTCAGTATCATGATTCATGGAGCATTCCAACAACCAAATACTGGAGACAAATATGTCAATGGAAAGGAACCTGGTGGAGTGAATTTCAAATTAATGAAAACATCCAGGAGAGAAGGAAGGGTAACAGTGAGAAGAGCATTCATTGATAAGGAAATGCTGATAATGTGTAGATTTTTGTAATTGATAACCACTTCTCCAATGAAGGCTCAGTTTAAGTACCTGTACAATATGCTTGAAAATGCAATTGAAACTTGTTTTCCTGTGAAAAGTTAGTTTTAATGTATACTCCTGGAAGAAAAAACAGCAATGGTTTCTTACAAATAGTCTCTGAGAGGCAAGATGCATCAAGAGTGTAAATACAAGTTCTACACATTGAAGGTGAAGTATCAGAAGATATTGTAGAATCTGCATAGGTTCTATATAGGGTTTATCACCATCACCAAGTTCCTTGAGGGTTATCTCACTTAAGAGTACTTCAAGATTTCTTATCTGAGTTGTCAGCCCTGATTGGGAAAAATGAAATTTTTTTCATATTCAAATTTCATTTCAAAACCAGCACTATCCTGATCTTGCCCACCATCTGTATCACCTGTGTCCTCAAGTTTTGCCCCTTTTCCATGTAGCCCACTTTTTGATGCAATAGACCAATGATATGCCCAAGAGGGGGGTTTTAGGGGGTCATAACCCCCCAGCAGGGTACACTTTCTGTAGCCTCAAGGCAGAAAGCTATGTAATCAACTGATCCCTTTCATTAATGTAACTACACAGAGTGCATACATACAAGGCAGTGAGAGACTGACCTCAGTTAACCTCAGATGGCTTAATTCTCCAAACTGAAGCAAAGACCCCATCCTCCATTATCGCTCTTCCCTCGCTCCCCCTCTCTTGAACTGAAGCTTGAGATTTTCCTAATGCAGTTGCTTCTTTTACCCATCAACAATGCACGAGTGCAAAAAAAAGAAGAAAATGGCACCATACTTAGTTGGTCAGACCATCTTATGAGAGTAAGGTGGATTCATGTAACTATTATGGCAAAGGGAGCATCTTCTCATCAGAGCAACGTGAAATGCTAAATTACTTCAATATGCATTCATGGGATGAGTGGAGCAAATGTGATAACAATATCATGAGAGCAGAACAGTTTGCAAAGCTATTCCAAAGTCTGTGTAGTCAATAATATCCATGAGAAACTCACAAACAATGAAGTTGATTATGAGTCCCCTTTGATCCAGCAATCTTCTTCACTGCACATGAAAATCCTGACAAAGCAGGTCTGAAAATATGCATTTTTGACAAAATGGGCCTAATTCAAGTTGATCTTAGTGAGTCAATTATTTCAATTGTACCTGTGATGAAACAAACATGAATGGGATAAATTCTTAATCTAACTTCAAAACTTTGGCACAAACAGGCTTCTTAGTCTACATTGCAGATTGATGCAAGATAGCATTGCCCTTAGGCATAAGTTAGCCTACTCCAAGGCCTACTGATCACTTATCATGGCATATTAATCACTTAAGTCCATCACGAATACATTGGTGTCTATCATATGTTAAATTCTGAATATATGGACACACTCACAGATAACATTCACTTTGCCAAATTCACAATGGTGAAGGGCAAGGAGCCTTCAATCTAAATGGAGCTTCCTTTCCCTGACATTTAATGTCTCCAGGGATCTATGAAAGCCTTCTGGGTGTCACATGACTTTCTGTTGATTCAGTTTGCAAAATTATCATAACAGGGCTTAATGTCCTTTTCTCTTGACAGACACTAATAAAAGTTTGATCACAAGATAACAGAAGAACCAAGCTTCAACCAGTGATTAAATATGCCTCTGAAGTAATTCCTTCCACTTTCCACGTATGGGTGCAAAGTGCTCACTGAAAGAAGGATGTGAGCACTAAGTTGGACGTAGGTCTGGAGAAAATAGCGAGCATTAATGTTAGACCTTTGCTAGGCTCTAATCCAAGCCAACTCGCTCTACCGTAAGGCAAGGCTACACATCAAAAGGTTGGCCGAATTTGGTTGAGAACAGACCTCACCCCGTGACAAAAACTCGCAAAATAGCAGGAGCCGCAATCTTAGCCAATTGTTAACGTTCAGCCAAGGCTAGGCTAACGTTACACCTCACCAGTTAGGGCTGGCCTACCATCAGTGTTTAGCTTGGTTTCGGGTTAGCCTACAAGACACAAGGGCGATGAGATTAAGGACGTCCCAGAATTCTCGTTTTCCTCCATTGAGACAGTCGCAAAATCGTACGGTAAACCTAAAAGTCTGACGCAAAATCATTGGCACAGTAACACAGTCCACGTGGTCCTCATGCATCTGAGGTCACGTGACCCCGCACTCATCACGGTTGCCAGATTTCATTACTGTTCATTAAGACGAAAATTCATGGTTAAATTTGTTTAGCGTAATGACTCCACTCTCTTCAGAGATTCTACAGGGTGAGTCAAATCTCCTGTCCACCTTTTGAACGTTCTTAACTCTGGAGTTCTTGAATGGATTGAGACGCGATTAACACCATTCAGAAGATCCTAAATTTCTCCATCGAGAAATGTGTCAGTATTATTTTGCCGTTAAAATCATTTTTCTAAGACGTAAATTAGATTATGTTCATTTATAGATTTTTAATAAACACGTTTGCATCTGAAACCCGCTAGTGCCCCGTCATGTCGACTTCGAGTCAGTGGCGTAACCAGATTTCGCCAATGCACTTAGACCAGAGTTGGGGGAGTTGAAGTCCCCCTCGCTGCGCCACTGCTTCGAGTCAAAGAAATATGAGGAAAATGATCGAAGAATGACCGCTGATGAAGCTAATGTTCGGCTCAATTCCGAATCCGGCCAGAACACAGCGGAAAGTGGCCCATTCCGAAACTGCCATTTTTTCTGAATCGCCTGAAATCACCGCATGACAACAGAGATCGAAATCCTTGCCACCGATCGAAGGAGTTTCGAGAGGGGATCTCAAGCTTGAAACGTTGACATTCTCTCGTTTTAAATGAAGTATCTCAGGAAATTTCCCGGCTTTTGAAAAACAAACCGTACAGCAATTAGCTAACTGTCAGGAGTTATTAGTAGTCGAGAGACGGGCAGGACTCTTGACTCACCCTGTCTATCCCCTTTATAATTTACACATACATTTGCCGAGATTTAAGAATTCGCCGGAAAACCTGTAAAGACACGGGGCTGCATGCACAGGCCTTTACTAACGTGTAATCATTCCTACCAATGTACTTTCTCCAACTCAAGGCGATACCCATGATGATAAAGATAGCAGCGTGTTAGTTTTTCACCCGAGCATTCGGCCTCCAGCCTCTCCCACCCTCCCGCTCTCTGACGCTTCCATTCAATTTCCCGCTTGCCTCCTTTACCCACTTCCTCTGGCATGATGGGTTGCGCGACTTCGGATCACAAGATTCAAGGTTCGAGTCCTGGGTGGGAAATTTTTTTTTTTCGCCGCGTATTTTTTGACCAGACTGAAACCTTCATGCGAAGGAAAGGAAAAATACTTTTCACTTACGTCAAATTTCCCTGGGGAATCCCCGATCTTCGCCGCCGCGATTAAAATGAAAATTTTCCAACTTCAGTTTCCTCAATCGATCAGTGGGAACCTCGAGGTGTATTTTTTGTTTTTCTAACTTTAGATTAAATTATGTCAAATGGAATTTCGTCATGATCCTTTTTTTTCAGATTGGATTCACTGTGACCAAAACCTCTCGGTTACATTCTTAACCTGGACTCCAGTTTCGGAGTCCTCTTGCACAGTAGAAATCAGAATTTCCACAAATAAACGGGAATATTCAATAACCTGTCATAATAATTATTATTTTAAAAATCTGTCAAGATGGCCGGTAATCCCAAGGGCAATTCGATACTTTCCTGAAACTCCACTGGCGTATTGTGTGAAAAAAGCAAAGAGAATGCGTAACAATAAAAAACGTTTGCCACTTTCGTGAAACACGCAACCGCGCTGACTCATCAGCGGATTCGGCCAAACCCTGCGCAAGGAGCGATTCCGCGAAGCCATTTCCGAACGGTGAAGAAATCCAGGCTTCGTTTCTGAATTGAGAACGGAGTCGCATCGGGAAGAAGTCCAAGAGTCCAAGAGATTCTCCGTTGACGTCAAATTCAGGATATGTGTACGGTGATCAAGTGGCCTTTTGTTCGTGACGAGGCCCTTCTCGCACTAAAACGGTAAAACTATCATCAAGGTCTGTGGTCGGCATAGATATATAAGGTGTAAATGCTGAATTGAATGTTTGATTTAAAAGAGTTACTGTTTTACTTCATCATCAAACAGTTCTGCTACTGAAAGGATGAGATACCTTTCTGTTCTCAACGTTTCACGCCCATTTCGCCTTTTTTTTCGGGAAAGCCCCAAAAAAAAGCGCTCGCAAACGAACTCGCACCTCAAAGTTAGATTCCTACGCTAAAACTAATATCGATCCGGAAACCCATGACGTCATCCCCGACACCCCCTCGCTCGAAAGGTTCTCGACTCGCCACGTCGGTTGAAGCCTCGAAGGAAGTGCAAGGACCCTCGGAAGAGAGAGAGCGAGTGGGTGGGCTAGGCACACCGTCCCACCCACGGGCCATGACACATGTCCGTCGGAGTCGAAGGAAGGGAAGAGACTGTCGCGTGCCCCCTCCCCCTCCTGTTGACAGAGGAAGGTCGATTTCCGCCACCCTCCAAGGTTGCATCGTCCTTCTCTCCGGGATCCTCCTCCATTTCCCTTGCTCCCGTACGGATTCGCGGATGTGCGCGGCGAGTGTCTGTGCGTCTTCATCTCGGTTCCATCTCGGTTCCATCTCGGTTCCATCTCGGTTCCATCTCGGCTCCCTGCCGCGTCGAAGCTGTTGCTGCATCGAATACATGTGCTCGTGCAAGTAATTGTCGATCTATGCTTTTATCACGAATGTGTTGGTAATTGGCTCGCTGACTAAATGAATCTCGCGAAAGGGCGACGTCGATCCATATGGAGAATGAAATCCAATACGACGACTCACCTTGTGGGCAGCTGCAGACCGAAAGCTCCTCTGAGAAATCTTTAACCGCGAATCGCACTCGGCTTGAATGCGACGGAACCGGTCGGTCGTCTCATGTGAAATGTCGCATCGATTGCGACGTTTTTTCACGATGTGGTTCCAAGCGTGTCAAATCCAATACTTTGTTGCTCTGCGTGAAATTGGCGGAAGGAAAGTCTCAAGAACACTTCACGATCCCTGTCGCAATATACTGGCAGTTTTTCTCGATTCCTGTCCGAATCGACGACGAAATCGACCCCGATGCATGTGGCCACATGGACCCACATGGACCCACATGGACCCACATCGCAGAATCAGGTTCGGGGGTCGATCTCGACTTCGTGCTCTGTCGCAGCCGAGCCAGTCGGGCGACGTTGAACTGCAGTCGTTCCAACCGACCGTATCGGCGACTGAATCGCTCAGAAACCAGAATTTCGAAATCCCAAATCCTAAAACTCGACGAAGAGTCCGCGCCGATCCTTCAGCATCATTGCTCGCATTCGAAAGTAGCCCTGGCAGACCCCGACAATTCCGAACGAGGGACAGAAGCCAATGCAACCGACCTGGACCAGAGACCCGCCATCGGCGATGAAGACTCGAGATGCGAATGGAGAGGCGACAGTGCAACTTCGCAACCTTCGCAACCTTCGCAACCTTCGCAATCTTTGCCTGCGGCGATGGCAGCCTCCAGGCTCTCGATCGTTTCATCCTCGGCTTCACTGCAGTCAAGGTTACTAGAAGACACTGAGAGCCTGCCTCCCTAACGAGAGGGGCGGAGCTTGTGGCATCTCCGCGTGACGTCATCGTGAAGCCCCGCCCACTCCCGCTTCTCGCCTCTGCATGCTCGACTACACCCCAGCGACGACTTCCTAAAAACTCCCGCCAGAGTTGAGAGTGTAGCTCGACACTCCACTCGAATCGGATTCATTGACAGGATAGATGTCGCTGTCGATCTTCCGCAGAGCCTCTGCCAGGAAAAATCAAGCAATGATCCCCCGCCGGATTTTTCCAATTCAAGTTTCATCAATGCCATGTTCTCGGAGCACTCTGCGACAAACATCTGGGAGAATATTTGTGACGGTCGTCCTGTAACCCTTTCTTCGGAAGTCATAGAAAACCCGCGAAGCACAGTGCTTGTACTTACGAGTAATCTTTTTTACCCCTTTGCTTTGCTTCGCAGAAATAGCACTATCAATATGTGCATCAAAGGGACAATTTACATAACCGCGTCATTTCACATGTTGAGGAAGTGCATGGTATCCGAGAAAGATAACATCCTGAACGACGTAGCTAGATGCACAGAATCGACTTTACCCGATCCGCGGCAGAAGGGCTTCGAGAGGGTGGAAGAGAATCGAATACGCCCAACGAGTGGACAGGTTCTCGCTTCACTGCCATGTTGTACGCGAATCGAATACGCCCAACGAGTGGACAGGCTCTCGCTTCACTGCCAAGTTGTGTCAAATCCATCGGCTAGAGAAGGAAACGTTTCGCATCTCGGCGCATCTGGGGATCGACCCCAGAGCCGCCGGATTCCGGACCCATGTCTGTTGAGCTTCTGGTTCTTAGTCTGTCGGGCTTCTGGCTCCTTTTCCGTGACGGGAACCCAGACTCGCTCCGGGCTAGGCCTATCGACCGACTCAAGCGAGAGAACTTTCCCGTGCTTTGGGTTTCCCCTTTTCCTTCGAAATGCAGCGATCGCCTAGCAGCGGTACTCAAGCCGAGGGCCGCATACGGACGTAACATAACTTGCGCGGGCCGCATTTAAAAAAGAGTCTACTATCACGAATAAAAAAATCCAGTCAGGGTTATAGCGTTCATAGTGAGTTTCTTTTCACTTCAAAGTACATTTATTATTCGCGGGCCTCAGTTTGAGTACCGCTGCCTTGAAGTTTTCTTCGTCATGGAGTAGCATGGACTTAGAGGATTCTACTCCTAAGACTGTGACGTCGATTGAATTCCAGTGAGTTCAGATTGCATGAATGCGTGCAAAACGTGAATTTCCGAGCTCCAAATTCGGGCTCCACTTGCTGGCTTGTAATTGTGAATCACTTGGACTGTTCGCGCTTGTAAATTGATGAGCCTATTTATGAATCCTCCTTCGAAAATGTACAATAATACAATCTTGCTTTTAGGCAATTGATAATGCAACTTTTAGCTTGTAGATCTTCCCTTTCCTGGATAAATCCTTTTAGCAGCTTCCGCTGGAAGGTTTAATTTGTCGGTAAAGGCATGACATGCGAAATTCCACTCACCGATGAAAGGATTTAAATTCTGCTTTCGACGGATTCCCTTCGGCGATTTCTGTTTATGTTGGTGAGAAAAAGTGCGAATTTTTTTGCCCCGTCGTGATTTAGTAGCTGTTACATGCCAGCGTTTGATGTTATGGTGCCTGCGAGAATTGAGAAGCATTCCTCTTTCTATTACGTTATTCCATTTTGTTTACCTTCAACGGCGACACGCCGTTTCGCTACAATTTTTTTTTCTCTTCCCATTCTCTCTCCGTTGTTTGAGTTGGCGTGTTCTGAGCCTGTTCCGCTTCCTCGCAACCCTGCGCGTCTCGACAGAGCGACTCAGGGGCGGGTCGTTGCCATCGGCCTTCGGAGAGATCATGGATCCCCGAGAGCAATGGGGTGGAACAAAAGTTATTGGAGGACATTTCTCTAAGCCCGAACGGCTGACTATTTCATGATCGGGAGACATTTCCGAAGAACGATTTTCGTATATGGAGAATATAAATCCTATTTATGAATGATTTCGATTCTTTCATTTGGAATAGCTAATTGCTCGTGCAAGCCTAATTTTTGCTCGCAGAGCTTGAATGGGCTATTGATAAAAGAATACGAGGCTACCGAGGTGAAATAATGCATCAAAACTGCTAAAATTAATGTTTTCTTATAAATCCTGTTGAAACTACTGCACCAGATGCCCGTCTAAAGCTTCTTAAGACCCCTCGCCCCACTGACAGTCGACGTATCTGATCCTGCCGCAATCTGACCCATAGGTTTTTCTTTCCTAGAAGTCGACCTAAACGTCAAAGTCCCCCCCCCCCCCTCCCCCCCCTTCCCGCCCTGGATGCATCACCCCCGACTGACTCACCCCAGGGCACTGCGCGAGTGCTTGTCCTCCCGTGTGTCATCCTTTCCTTATTTGCGCCTGGAATCCATGATAGGTTTCCTTAGAAGCCATGAGAGACGCAGTACAGTCTCAGTCATTATATATCGATTATTATTTATTGAAGAGAACGATGATATCCAAGCCGGCCGTCTGTCGTCGAGTCGAAGTAAAAACGGCCTGAGGCAGCCGTCAGAATATGTTGAAAATTATCACCTCACTGTCGACATGTGCATAATACTTTCTCGTGATTTGGATGATAAGATTGAGAGCTCGTATTTAGGCCGATCAAACGGCTTTATGCCGTACATGCGATGCTTGCATAGCGAATGTGCTCGATTTTCGTTCTCTAACGATGTTCTTCCAATGCTGAGAACGTAGGAGCTCAAAATTTCTGCTGTGGAGTTAGCACCCCACTTTTTCATGTTTCTTTTTCTAGCAGGTTCGTCGTGAGAAACTGATAGTGTCGAGTAGCAGGTGAAGTTATACGGGGAACAATCTCGTGTCACTGGATGTGTCATGGTGCTATTTCCGTCAGTGCACACTGCGACTTTCGGGGGAATCCGACGTGATTCAGCAGACGCTGCAGCGGCAACCGAGCAGAAGCAAAAGAGAGAAGAGGAAGAATAGCAACAGAAGAATTACGGGATCGTTATCTCTGAAATATCGGTGCGCTTTGTTTTGCCTTTTTTTTTCTCCGCCCCTCCTCTTCTTATCAAAAGCCACACTTCCCATGCCCTCCCAGCGCATACACAACTCACCTATACGTACGTGCATCCTCGTAAAAAAAAAGGAAGTTTGAAAAAAAAACGACCTGTTTAAAGAGCCCTGGTTAAAGAGAGCAATGATTGCCCCGCTCTGATACCCTCATTCGTGCCCGAACCCGTCGACATCCACGCCTCCCCTTGTGTCATCCACAGCCGAAAGCAACCGCGCGAGAGCGAAAGCAGTGCTCGACAGCGAAAGCAGCGCTTGGCAGCGGAAGCAGTGCTTGGCAGCGGAGGATCACCGCGGTCGCCGGGATGGACCTCCCGTGGGTGCCTGAGAGCCTGGTCGGCTTCCTGGATCGCGTCAGTCGGGAGCTGGAGGCGACGCTGGAGAAACCCCGCAGGAAGCGACGCCTTGCCGTCAAGCCCAAGGACAACAGGTGAGAACTACAAATGAAGTTCACAGCTTCCGGTTTTATCAGATATGTCTACTGTATGCAAGAAAATTCTCTCCCCCGCCTTCGCCTTCGCTTGGATTTCGCAGTAGCGGCTGAGGAACGGTTGAAACTCGAGTCTGAATAGAGACATCGGTGTACGTAGAGATAATGAGCCTTTTCCGTCAGGCTTACACAGGGCGGACTGGAAGTCCTTCTAAGCATGTGATATTGAGTCTAGCGGGTCCGTATGGGCACCGTCGTCGTCTCGGCAAAGGATGATGCGTCGCCAAGTCTTGAGCGACATTCTGCGTAACATGGATGTGGTTGTCGTTAATGTTGGAAGAGATGCGAACTGTAAATCTTCAGTCGTTTGGTAGCACTGTTTCGCGAGGATTTCCTTGATACAGCCCCATAGCAAAGTATCACATATGGTGATGTCCAGAATTCGTGGAGGCCATTTCAAGCGACAAACGGAGACATAATTACGTAGGGACAAGGGGACTTCCCGTCCACCCTCTGCCAGTGGGAGGCATTTCTGTTTCGTGATTCATCGTGAATTCTGCACGTGAATTTTTTCAAAGGCTGCAGATCCAAGTTGAGTATTGTCCGAAGTAAAGTTTCCGATGAAATAAGAAATTACGATTTTTAAAGGGTTCACTGGTGTTTACGCGGTTCTGTTTACGAAGAAAAAGTCGCTTCGCTGTTTCTATGTAGTGACGTGGCTGAAAACTATAAGCGTGCCGACGGTAGGGCAAGTAAACTCTAAGGAAAAAAAAATTAGTTGCGATGTTACACTGTTACTCATATCAGATATCACAAGATTTAATGATTTGCAGAAAATGCCCACCGAAGGCTCCCCACAGGAGCGGATGCTAGGAAAGCACTTTTCATTTTCATTTTCACTCTCCCCTATAGTTTTCACTTGGTCCGCCGTGTCGGCATGCACGCGTGAAGTTGAAGATTCGGTGAATGATTTTGTTTCTTCACCCCCACCCCTGCAGCAGAAAGAAGCGCTGGAGCCAGAAGGAGCGCTGGCGGGAGAAGGGCGGAAGGACCGGATGGGAGTCGGTCGAAGACGCGGCCTGGACATCCCCCGAGGGAGACGCCCTCGCCCCGTTCCTCCTCTCGCCCGGGCGTTCCTTCGCTTTCGTCGCGGGGGCGACCCAAGACGAGGTGGGAGTGGAGGGCGTCGGGGGGAGGAGGGACCGCGAGGACGAATCTCGGAGTCCGGTCGTTTCCATGGACGAGTTGGACGTGATCGTCGCCAACGAACTCGACCGGATCCAGCAGGAGACTCACTATCTGGTGAGGGAATGTCGAAAATGTCGAATCGAGTCCTTTCGCGCGGAACGGACCCGGGAATCCGTGCAGTAAAGTCGTTGAAATCTCTCGTTCTCCCACATATCGGTCCTTCCACTTCGATCAGACTCGACTTATGAGCCCCGTGCATTGACACCAGATGGGGAAAAGCCATTATCTAGAGGGAATGAATCGGAGAGTCGCGAACGCTCCTCGATGGGTAAATCCTCTTTGCGTGCCGAGAGTATCTATCGAAGAGAAAAGTGAATGCGTCCTTGCTGCGCCCCAGTCCCGCTTGCCGGTCGAGCGGCGTCATCGTGGCGCTTTGCGTTTCGTGGGCGGTGAGCACGGAGATGTGGATGGGTTTGGGGGAGGTTGCCCAAAGGTTTTCCCGGTCTTCGATTAAGTCTACGTTATTTCAGTCAGGGATCGGGCATCGATGTTTCTTCCCCGGCTGCTAAGCACTTCAAAGACGGTGTTTCTCCCCGCTTTCATCCCCCAAGTCGTGTCATTAGTTTCGTCGCTCTTCAATTTTCCAGAAAAATAGTCTATTTGGGATATGAAAACGGAACCACTAAGTCGACGCGACTTACTGATTCTCTGTCTCGATCCTGCAAGCCAGGATCGGCTGACCTCGCAGTCGGGATCGTCACATGGACGAGCGAGTATCGCGACTTCTTATCAGGGGGGAGGGGGCCTCTAAGTCCCGTCAAAACACAACGGCATATCTTTTCAATGTCATAAGGAATAATAAAACATTGGCTTTGTTCAGGCTCAGTTCAGAGCAATAAAATCAGGTTTCTGGGTCTGCTCTGCCCGGAATGATTTATTTTTGGGTGCTAATGTAACGTTCATTGCAATTTTCTCATCGTTCGCAGACTGTCAAATTAGCAAGGAAGCATCATTTCTCCATGCATAATGACCTGGAATACAGAGAACTCGGATCTGTCATAGGATCCAGATGAATCCCCCCCCCCCCCCCCCTCAGTTTTGATTCAGAGTGTATCCAAAGTTCATGCACGGAGCTCATAGGAGATTCTATTGAAGTTAAGGCTGCCAAGTCGATTAGATTAGTCGACCGATTACATTTTCAATCGCATTAAAAATTAATAGAATGTGATAGATTTTTAACCGGCCTCCAAAATTCGTCCCTCCGTGTCTATTTTCTTCCGAATTTCACTGCATAGTGCAAAGTCTTGGAGAAGAACCAAAGTTAATTTTTTTGCGATTGGAATCAGGTGAAAGAAGGCAGTCTTTTTTTGCACGGCTCACTCTTCTGCAAAAAACTGCTTATTTTCTTGGGAAATGGAACGCATAACAAACGCAACGCTGTCTGAATAATGGAAGACGAAAAGACGAAGCGTGAAGCGTTCGTGAAGGGATGAAAGAGCCTTCATGCCATTTCAAGTTAAATCTGTGGGGGTTGCTTCCGTCCTTGAAGGCCGCGGTACGTGCGTGGAATCGGGTGGACCTGAAGGGAATGATGCATTGAGAATGAAGGGGAGGAGGGTCGGGGAGAAGAGCATCCTTTCGCCATCCAGAAGGCACGTGGGGTGTAGAATACGCTGAAGGGATTGCATTCATTCCTGCGGGGCACTGGACCGTCTGGGTTTGAGCGCACTTTCTCTTCCCAGCGCAATGAAAGCGAGTTGCTTCGACGTGCATCGACGACCGAATCGGATTGATCGGCGGGCTACCGTGACTCGACTCACGCGAGGTGGGGAAGTTGGGATCCCTGCACACGAACGCAGGTCTCGATCGTTTCATTTTTGCACGGATTATACCCGCATACCGAAGCGATGCGGACCTCTATCGACTGCATGCGATGTCATACAGCTTCGGTCTTTCCCGGACGGATCCAAATCAACGAGAAATCTCTGTCGCACCGCCGCATAGGACGGTAGCAACCGATCAGATTCAGCTTCGATATCTTTCTTTCATTACACACAGGGATGAAGTCACTCGATTAAAATGTACCAATTAGATGGCCCACCATTAATTATCTTTCTTTATCTATTGGCAGCGCTGTAAGCTTTCAAAGAAACCGAATCTTTCAGACATTTTTCTCATCACGGGAACGAAACGTTCCATTTCATCCCGTTTAACGATACATGCAAAACTGTTGAAAGTTCCAGCGGTCGAGGATTCGGAAGCCTTGCTTGGCAAACTTGAATGACGAAATTCTCATTCCGAAATGAAATCGTCTATGACTTGTAGTTAGTCGGTGACATCTTGCCCCAAAGAGAAGGATAATAACTTCATCTCCAGAGGACTCTATTTTCGCAAAATTGTTATACGCTCATATTGTGGATTCACGTTTTATGTTACAATGCATTAATGCAGCGGTACTTCGCGATCTAGGGTATCGCTAATTTTCTGAAGTCTTCCAACTCACAAAGGAGTTCGGGACGGGAACCATGGAGTGTTTGTCGCCGTCGGTCCAAGCCTCGGGAAGCGGAGGGAGAGACCGCGAGGACCGCTTCTCGCAGCTGTCGCCTTCGGACGCCGCGGCTATTCCGTGGACCGCGGGAGGAGGTGGGGGCGGCAGGTGTCCGAATCCCGATCCGAATCCCAATCCGAATGCGAATCCGGGGTCGTCGTGTTCGTGCGACAGCGGGTTCTCGTCGCCCTCGCCGGCTTCGTCGCCCGATGCGCTCCCGCTCGCGCTCTCCAAGGCTCTTCAGCCGTGGTTCCAAGTTCAAACTCCGGCCGACTGGCACTATTGAAAGCCCGCTTCAGTTGGTCCTTTGCCGTCCTGTATGAAACTCGTTTTTATCAATTTTTCTATGTGAAATATATACCGAATGCACGTTCTGGTCCGTCGTTGTTTCTCTGTTAATAAATTATGTTGCCGTATTTCGGGGAATTTCGGATTTTATATAAAAATGAATGCGGCATGGAGGGTACACTAAATTTTTATATTTAAAGGAGAGAAGAGAAGGATGCTGACAGCCATTTAATGATGATAATTTGTACGACTCTCAAAGAAGAAACATGAGCCAATCGTCAGCTCCAATGGAAAGGGTCGTATAAGCGAATAAGATAAACAAGTTTACCTACGGAAATTCGAGATGCAAGAGTAAGTTCCAGCACCCTTCTGTAAGTAACTAAAGAGATTCTCAGAAATGACATCGATGGCTCAGTTATTCCATCCGCGCATCACTTCGATCATGCCACAGCTTTATACGAATTCCTATCGAAACTTCCACAAGTCAAACAAATTGCTTATTTAAGAGATGCTTCCTCCGAGAGCCCCTGAAACTTTCCTTCTCGGCTAAAAACTTTTCACTTTTCACTTTTCACAGCGACGGATGCGAAGAGAAGAATGAGGCGAAGTGCGCCGCTCTGCCGGTAGATGGCTCTAGTTCGGTTCCGACTCGGTTCTATTTATCTTTGCTTTGCGATAATACCGGATTCTTTCTATTTTTAGCAGTCCTGGTAAATCCGGATATTCGGCTGTATGATTTCATGAAGGAAGGAGCGCCCTTGCCGCTTTCTTCCCGTTCCTGCGCAATCCTTCGAGGGGTGGCCGTGAAAACCTGCACACCATTGCAAAAGCATTTCCGATAAGAATATTCAACTTAAATGACAACATTAATTATTCCTAGCTAAGCACCTGTCCCTTAGGCAAAGAATCGTCAAGGTTGATAGTCGCAACTTTCTGGTCCTGCCAGGGAGTAAAAAAAAAGAAGACTTTCGCCGATACCGATTTCAGACTGAAATTCACAAAGTACATAGTATTACGGTTTTTGGTAACCAACTAAATGGTAACTAAAATAGCTATTTCAAAATGCAAAGTAATCTATTCAGAATTTCCATATCTAATCGACACAAAAAGTCGCGACGCTTTCGAACTGAATTCTTCCCGTGAGTTTTCGTTCGACTGAAATCAATCAATCAATCAATTCCCTGTGAAATCAATTCAAACCGTGTACGAGGGTCGTTGAAAAAGTTCTGCAACCAAACCTAGGTCAACAAAGATATTTGGTGGTAAACTGATTCACTTCTTGAAATTGTCATTCTCTCTTCTCCTTCTTACCGACATTTTATTCGAGCGATTGATGGTGGAGTGCTAAACGCTTTATTAAACCACGTTTTCTCTCTTGACTCATTTTCATGATATCTCGAAAAATTACGACACAATCAAAAGTGAAAGAAATACTGATTTTGGCATATATACAGGGTGGGATAATAAAAAAAAAAACAAAGCAATCATTTTTTTGGGAAGTTGTCAATCTGATTGTAGGTTGCCAATTTTGAATTGTATTTTGATTTTGCCAATTTGGTATACAAACTCCAATTGTGGCATCCTATAAGTCCCCCTATAAGTGAGTACTATAATTAAAATCGGCAGCCTACAAAGAGATTGACAACTCACCAAAAATGTCAGCTTTGTTTTTTTTTTTTTGGCCCACCCTGCACATGATTATGAATTTTGGCAAGGGCGTTATGGTATGCGATCGAGTACCAGCCACCCAGCCAGTCCACCGGCACTAGAAAAAAGGAATTCGTTCAAAAGAAGCTGCGCTCATAAATCCGAAGAAAGAGATCCCGGTCTGTCGGAAGCCATCACGATCGTCACCATCCCCATCTCGTCTCGGGATTTTTCGGAGAGATCCTCAGGGATCGTCCGTCCCCTAGTCCCGATCATTTCCTTCCATTTTGAGGGACTCGATATTCTGACCCGCGGGAATTAGACACTCCTGTGAGCCGATTGCATTAAGCAATCATATCGATTGCATTAAGCAATTATAACCAAGACTGTGATTAAAAATAATGAGGTTACTTAGAACCTCCAGAACGTTGGAAGTACGTGTCATAATTGGAATTATTGGACCAGTTGCACAACTTTTTGAATGAGTCTCTTATACTCGGCCCCTCCGATTTTGGCGATATTTGGCGGACTTAAAGGATCCACTGAGAAAATAAGCCAAATTTCTGCTCACTTGGCCAAGTACTTCGCAAGAGGCACTGCGATTCGTATATAGGCAATAAATGGCCATTTCTGGTCCGGTGGCCAAGTTGTCCATGAATTTTGTCCTTTGTCACTTTCAGTTATTTTAATGCCCTTTCGTGTGCGATGTGTTTCATGGAGGCCGAGCGGAAACGAAGGTCAAAGGACGAAAGGCCTAACCTTTGACCTTTAATTTCGAGGGAAAGGCCATTATTACTTCTTCATAAAAGATCAATACGACACCCCCAATTTTCCTTAATCGAAACACCAAATTTAAATTACGGACAGCCATGGGATCAAAAGATACGAAAAATAAAGCCGCAAGTGATTAAAAATCCTTCGAGAATCGGTTAGAAAAATGAGGACGAACCCATAACGTGCCGTCTCCGGTGAAATCACCGCGGAAACAAATTGGATCCGCGGTGATAACTGGAGAGCTTGATCACTTAGTCGAGACGGAGTGGAAAAGGAGAAAGAAGACCCTGAAAACCGACGAGGACATGAGAGAGGCGGGAGACGATTTCTTCTGGGGAAGACGAGATCCCAGGGATGTTCGATCTCCGCCTTTTCTCCCATTCTGCATCAAACGAGGTGAGGCCACTGTGCGGTTCGTTAAGGTAGATTTCGAAAGACTATGAGAGATTTCCTTTTTTTTTTCTTTCTCCATGCGATTTAGCACGAAAAAGAATCGTTTAGATCAAATTCAGGTACGACCCTCATGCATAGGATGAATACCGGTGCATGAAAACCGATTCGAGTTCTTCCCATCCCCCACCACGAAGCTTAACTGCTCGAGCATTACCCGAGATTCCGTTCTGACATCCGTGCCGACATCCCCAGGATGTCCAGGACCAGACCCCGTCGCAACCCAGACATCCCGGAATCTCCAATCCCATTTCCATCTCCAAGCCTCCCAAACCCGGAACCGAGAACTGCAACGACTCCGCCCTCCACCCATCCCTCCCCCGTCCGGGGAAACTCAGCCCTCGCCCGAAGGAAGCAAAAAGGAGGCAAGTTCCTCGCTCGGCCCTCTCCTCTCCGATCGCTCACTCTTTTCTCACTCCCTGCTCACTCTTTTCTCACTCCCTGCTCACTCTTTTCCCTCGCCGAGTCTGAAGAGCATAAGTCTGGGGGAAAATGATCTAAAACGTAACGCCACTAAATTCGTTTTTGTTTCGTCTGAAAAAGTTTATTCACTAATTTCCATGTTGTGTTTTCCTTCGTTTCCGAACTGTCCTCCAAGGTTCAATATCGTTCCGAACTATTTTGCGCTCTCATCCTGTTGTTTGGGACCATCTAAATTATGACAATAAATTCATTAATCAGACTCGGCGTGAACTTTTAAGGAAAGTTGAATATCCTGGGTTACATAGAGAATTTCAATCTTTTTTTATTTTTAGTTTTTTATTTATTTATAAATATTTATTATTCCTTTACCACATATGTGCGCATTTTTTTATCTCATGGCAGCCCCAAATTTAAATGTCGGGTATCGAAAAAGAAAAATTGTCGGGCGTCGAAGGTCAGGCCTTTCGAACATCTGACCAACATCTACGTTCAAACTCCATGAAACACATGGCATAAGAACTTTGAATAACGCAAACTTCATTTCTCTACGTTCATAAGGGCAAAACTCATAAGTACTTGCCTATAAACAAATCGCTGTGTCTCACCAAGTACTCGTTGAAGAGAGCTGCCATTTCGACTCGGTGTATCTTATCAGCCCACCGAATTTCGCCAAATTCGGAGGGGGTCAGGTATAACGGCTGTGCTGATTTCGCATGGATACGGAGACTCACGAAAGCGTCGCGCTCGCGAAGGAAAACGTCCTGCACGATTGTCTATTGAAGCGCATGTGGGGTACCCTCAGGAGTACCCAGTGGAGTACCCTCAGGAGTACCCAGTGGAGTACCCTCAGGAGTACCCAGTGGAGTACCCTCAGGAGTACCCAGTTTGTGCGGCTGGAACTGCCTCGTTCTCCCTTCCGTTGCGTCAACGAGAATTTCGAGGCATACTTCCTCGGTTGAATTAGAACGAGGGATGACAAATGCGATGCCTCGAGGAATTTTCGCCTCGGTTCCACAGTCTGACTTGGAAGGGTTTTGTGTGAGAGGATGGGTCCGCTCTTCTGCCGGTTTTTCCTTGCTTAGTACGAGTACTAAATCACTAGAGCTGCCTCAACGGCTAATTTTATCTCTCATTTCTCGTAGTTTCCGGGGATTTTGGCGCACCCATCCATTCAAAATTGAGAACCACATCTTCCCACTTTCGCTCGTACGGGGGGAGGAAAGAGAAATTTTAATTTCTCTTTTTTTTTTCTCCCAAAGGGTCTCACGACATAACCAGATGGACTGCCACGATTCAAGCCGTTCAGATTCGCCGTCTCTACTCATTCCCTAGATACTAAATTTTCCACTTGATAAGTTTGTATCTTCTAGTTCGGGGTGTCAAAACACAAATCGGTTGGAGGGACGCATTCCTTTCCCTGCAGATGCCGCCGGGGAGGCACCCAGAAATTTTCACCGAAATTTTCTGGTAAAAAGTCAATCCAAGCGGATATATCAAGAACAGACGGCGGGACGGATGAACCATCTCCGTGGGCCGGATCCGGTCCGTGGGCCGTATGTTTGACACCCCTGTTCTAGTTAATTCTCGTCGTTTCTCTTCTTTTATTTTACACTCCCGACAAAAATGTTGTCTTCTTACCAAGTCAGAGAATTATGCTCGTGGAGGGTATGTGAACGAGTCTGCGCATATCCATTACTCACACTCGATGACTGGGGCCAAGACGCTTCATCATCGACAATTTAGAGGCTACAGTATTTTAGAGAACAGAGGCAGACGCTCTGAGACAGTCGAGTGCGAGTCTCAAAAGGACTTCTTTCTTCCTGGAGAATTCGGCAAAATGTCTCCTGCTTCCTCATCTGAGGCAATGATGAAAAAACGCCGAGAAAAAATGGAATTCAAAGTAAAAAAAAATGCGAATGAGAAACGTCTCTTTATTTTGCAAAACACACAACCAGTTCAATCGATTTGAATGTTGAAGCACAGGGTGAACGAATTCTGATAGCGATGAAAAATTCAATTCCGGTCACGCGAAAACAGGTCAACGGAAACTCTTCTTTTCCTCAACTCCTAAATTTTTTTTTCCATCTACTGGAAAACAGTAGCACCTTTTCCTTCACATCTACACGTTTCAAATAAATACTGGGGTCGTTATCAAAACCACAACATACGTAGAAAAAAACACTTTCACAGTGCCGCTTCGTTGAGGATAGAACTATACGTATTATGCTTTCCCTGGATAAATCAGCTGCCTATTGCAAAAATATGGCAGAGATAGACTAAGAATCTCACTGGGCATTCTTCCTTGTACTGGCTTTCGTGTCCTTCGAGTGCAGAACCTTCGAATTATTCTCCGCTCGTTTTTTTTTTTTTTCCAGTTCAAGCAGGGATCACACGGAGTGTCCTCATGAGAGCAGTGAGGACGCTGGCCAAGGCAGTGGCCTCCTTCATGAGGACGTTCATGGAGGGGTCGTTCATGTTCTTCCCGACGGCATTCCCGGCTGCCTGGATGGTGCGGAGGTACGTCCGGCCGACGTCGGCCACCTTCGTCAGGAGTTCCATGTTCCCCGGCACGGCGGGAGAGTGGATGGCCACCAGCTGGGTCACGTCCACCATCTTCCCCAGCATCTTCATGCACTGGTTCAGGCAGTCCAGCAGTCGATCCTCGCTCTCCGTCGCACTCTTCACGAACAGCTTGGAGGCCGTCACGAAGTGACGAGCCTCGTTCGTCAGCGTGTCCTTGTGCTTCAGGTGAAGGGTTTCGTTCGGCTTCAGGCTCCCGGCTCCGAAGTTCTTGGTGAATTCCTCTAACCTCCTCACCAGATCATCCACACGCAATTCCGCTTTCCTGAATAGGGCTTCCCTGTCCTTTTCGCCACCGAGGTCCTCCGAATCGAAACTCGACTCCAGGGAGTCCTGTTCGAAGCTGGTGGATTCACTGAATCCGTTAGTGTTCGTGGTGGTGCCGATGCGGCCGTTCGAGAGTCCGTTGCTCTTCGTGGGGCTTTTTGGGCTGCTGGTCTTGAGCGGAGGCGTCAGGAGGGTACGAGACGCGTTGAGACGTGCGTTATGCAATGGGCTCTGCGTGGGGATGGGAGTATCGGGGGAATCCGGCTTCAGCTTTGGTAGTTTCGAAGAATTCTTAGGGGATGTTGCCGAACTGGGTTTAGGAGCAGGCATGGGCGCCTTTCCGACAGACGACGGGACGGGAATCTTCCGCGTCGGAGAACTTCCGCCTTTGGCAGGCAGGGCTGGCTTCGGGGAGGAACTTCCATTCTCCACTGGGGTTGGGGGTGGGGGCTTCACTGGTCCAGGTGGAGAAGGCAGTCTGGAAGGGGGAGCTGCATTTTTCACGGGGGAAAGAGGGGGCTTTCGCAGCCTCGACGGCAAGGCCGGCTTCGGACTGCCTGGCCCGTCCGTCTTTTTTGCCGCAGATGAATGAACTGCGGCTGATGCAGACTTCTGCTCCTGCAAAAAAAAAAATAATAATAGCCGTAGGTATCATTCAAGCACAAAGAGGAGCTTCTTTCTCATTAATAGAGAAAAATCTGAAAATTAACGGAGGACGAAACTCACAGGAGAGGTTAGTACTGGGGGAATGGGAGGTTTCCCCATGGGGCCCTTGGTGGGACTTCTCGGGGGCAGAGGGGGAATATCGGGAGAGTCACCCACGTACTTCACTGTCGCGACACTTGAATTTGATGCCAGTGAATCGTTGCTGGAGGAATGCTTCGTCCCGGGTCGAGAATGAGGAGAAGAAGGGCTCGGAAGAGACGGTCGCCTCGGAGCAGAGCTCCCCGATTCCACCGGGTCAGAGTAGCAGCGAGAAACTGCAGGATTGGAATTCCCAGTCTTTGGCGGTGGAGGAGGGGGATAATCGGGTGGGCTGCCCGTAGGTTGACTCCCAGACTGCGCAGCAGCGCGAAGTTGCTCTTTTCGTTGAGCGATGGAGGTGAGCTGCATTTCTGCCGTCCCTGTCCCCATCCCGGTCGGCATCTTGAGCCTGGAGACGTGACCTGGCGGTTTGGAGTCGGCGAGGAGTAGTTTGGACGGCCGAGTCGGTCCGGTCACTCTCAGCTTCACCGTCCCGCCTTCACTGTTGATGATCCGGCTGTTGGCACCCACTTTCAGCTCTGCCATCCCGCGATCCCGTTCCGGTGTCGAGCTTCGGGGCTCTGCATCCGACGATGTCGGCGGAGGCGGGATGATGAAGGCGTTGATGTCGTCTTGGGTCAGTTCTATCACAGGCGAATGATCAGCACTTTCGAAGGGTGTCATCATATCCGGAGGGGGAGGGATCGTGGCACTGGCGATGAATCTCTCCAGGTCTCCGTTGGGGGTGACTGCAAGATGGGCCAGGGCAGCCAGGCTTGCAGCCGGGATCCCTGCTGCTGTAGAACGAGACGTCAGGGATGCCGTCGACATGAGAGACGTGTTCAGGCTGCTCAGAGACGTCACATCTTCCTCTTCGTCTTCCCAATCGGTAGATTCACCTCCTGTAATTATATTTACAAGACCTCCGTTCCAAAACCGTCAGAGAGTAAGGGATGAGGAGCTGCATTTGCCATGAAGGAGTTTCTCACCATTTCTACTGATAGAACTAAGATTTGACCAAACTCCAAGATCCTTCAGATCCCCGAGATCTTTGGTCAAAGCCTGCAGCTCCACTTCGAGGCTTTGACGATCAGCAAATGGCGTCGGAGGGAAACTTGGTCCAGTTGGGAAAGACTTCGCTCCGTCCTAAACAACCAGGATGACGAAAAAAGAACCAGAACTCATTTAAAACCATACGATTTGGCAACCGATTTGGAAAAGATGGAATCCCAATCTCCTCACATCGTCAGGTGTAATTGGCGGAGGTATCATGGTGAGATCGATGATATCAGGATCCAATACCAGTGTCCCTTCAGCAAAATTGTATGGTAGGGATTTCTCTGTAGATAACTTCTTTAGCATGTCCTGTGGTGAATGAAGATATTTTAAAGTCTGTAAAATAGCCCCTTTTGACACAGTGGTGGTCAATATCATCCCAGAACGAGGAATGGGAATATACCTGGACTGTTGAGGAATTTCCCGAGTCCAGGCCATGAGGAAAGTTATCAGGACTGTGGAGCCCAAAGCTCGATCCACTCTGCTTCAGCGCACTAGGTTTCTGCACTGCTGGGGGCGAAGAGGTTTTGCTCGTAAATAATTCAATGTCCTGATTAGATGGGTTGTCGAGTCGGCCACGCTCCCTAATCAAGCATTGGTGATGCCTTACCTTTGGGTCTATGGAGAGGGCTGTTGGTGGGAGTTCCAAATGAGTCCGTATCACTCTCAGACGGCTCATTATTCTCCAGACCGTTGGTGGTCTTTGGTCCTCCATTCACTTCAACCTTCTTTCCGTCTACTCCCTTTCCCTGTAATCAAAATAGAATCCCGACACTCGAGTCGGTCCTTCCAAACGAGCTTCTCTCACAAGTCTCGTCAGATCAGGTTACCTGAGCGAGGAGAAGGAGAGAATCGGAATGCTTCAGTCTCCCATAGTTGGAGCTGGAGTCAGATGGCAGACTGTCTCTCTCTACGTCTGTTCCTTCCTCCCCTTCCGTCAGATATTGCTCTGCCGTTTCCACCAGTTTCTTCATTTCCTCCACTCGATTCAACACCTGGAATGAGGGCCACTGCTATAAACAGTCAGTCCTGGAATTGCATTCACAAAGTGATGATGAGACTGCCGAACCTCATCGTTCTTGGCCTCTGTCAGGTGATTATCCTCCAAAATCTCCATGGACACCACACTATGAACATCAAATCCAAGCTTGTTGGAATTGGAACCCAGCTCCAGTAAAGCTTTCTTCAGTTCGCTGAACCTAAGGAGACTTCCCGAGGACTTGGACACGTTTTGGTTAGCAACGTCCGCAAGTTGAGCACTTCTGCTCCCTACCCCATTCGACAGCGGCGAGCTAAACGTGACGAGAAGAAAATGCTATTATTCCGCTTTGTTACCAAAAAGTGGGGTATCTCACGGACTAACAAGGAAAACTTACATTTTATTGAGGTTTTCGTCGATGTGCTGCAGATTGTTCTCACCAACCTCCATTCCGGAACGGGGGAGCGTTCCGTTCGGAATCTACAGGACAGAAGCACCACAGAACACATTAGGAACGCCGATCCCAAGCCCCCAACAGCGAGACTCTACGACCCCCAACCAGACCTTAAATCCCTCTGGAGGACCGCTATAGGGAGGCGCCAACGAGAGGTCCGCTTCCCTTGGCGGATACAGGTGATGAATCGGGATCGGGAGCGACTGGTCCTCGTCGGAAGACACAGAGGAACCGCCGTCTTCCGATCCGCTTCCGATGCTCCCTTGATGATTCACTCCTTCCAGGCGCCCGATAGGCTTCACAGGATAGCTCCACGAGGCTGGGATCACACGGTGCTTCGTATGGTACGCTGGTGCTGTAAAATATGACGCATCGTCGGGTGATCCTGACTTTTCCGCACGAATAAACAATCACACTAGCCAGAGCCGGATTAAGGGGGGGAGGGACAAAGGGGACTGTTGGGGGGCCCCCGAAGGAAATTAAAAATGTTAAGGGGGGGGGAGCCCCAGGAATTCACTTGCCCCGGGCCTCGCAACTTCTTAATCCGGTCGACACTAGCTCGAGAAGACGTTTTCACGACAGGCCATTCAAGGGGCCTCCGGTCTCCCCAAAATTAATGCTCCCGGCTTTTGATCATCACTCATGCATATATTACATTACAGAGGCGCCAGGCAATTAAAATTAAATGCCAAGGAGTACAGTACTGCGTAGAACGAAGATAAGAGGAAACGTGAGAGCTTCTCTCCGGGTCTTCGATGGGAAAGCATGCAAGTGCAAGACAGACAGGAAGACGAGGCACCGGATGGGCATCGCACAACGGAGACAGCAGAAACGTATCAACACGCTCCTTCAGTTCATTATGACGGGTGAGTCGGTGAAGTATGGAGACATAAAAGCCTCCTTCTCCCCTTCAGATGTATGTTTTCCCTATTTCTTCGTTAATGTCCTTCCCCGGGGACACATCCCCCCCACTCATCCATTCTCACCCCTACAGCCTCTTCAGAAAACAAGCACGCACCTGAGACTCTCGCGCCCTTCGACTAACTGAATCGCGTCTACATGTTGAGCGTCGGACTCGACGGATTCGCTTTCCATTCCCAGAATTTCGAGGATCGCTTTGAAAGGTTCAAGGGGAGGCATTCCAATCCAAAGAACGGAAGAATGAAGAAGGAAAGAAGAGTGAAAATGTCTCCTCTGAAGATAAGGAAAGGCGAAAGCTATTACCGAAAATGGGCCTAGAAAGAATCGAAGAGGGGACATAGATTGCATCGGATTGGATGGAGCTCTCCATACGGCCCATACTCCACTCTTCCCTGGCGATTCAGGCCAAGAACGAAAGAAAAGATTTTCCTCTCTCTCCCCCCGAAAACGTCGATCTTCTCAAGAGGTGGAAGGATCCCCTATTCAGTGAAGGATCCAATCTGCTGATGATGATGGGGGAAACGTCATCAGTAGCACGTTCATGCCGGTTCATTACATGGACGATTTCCCGCCCCTCTCGTCCAGACTCTGCCTAACGACCCTCAAGATAAAATAAAAATAAAAATTCTTCCTCCCCCCCCTCTCAAGATAATTTTCTCCAAGTCTTCTGGGTTAGGCATTCCCTCCTTTAATGCATGGCATCTCGATCGCAGAATGAGAAGATGAGAGCCGACACGATGCGAATGAGGAAGAAACTGAGAGATGAAATTTCTCCTCGAAAGGGAAATTGAGGCGAAAGGTTCATCAATCACAGCAGAAATGAGGTAGAAGAACATCTCCCTTGTAGACACGCGATGAGCCTCCCCTGGGCGTCGAGGGATCATGAAGGAACTTGATGAGGGAACGGAATTTCCCTCAGATACTACCTAGAGGGCTTTTCGTTATTTTCCATCGAGGCGTCAACTGCGAGTAGCTCAGTATTGAAATTGACGAGCGCTCTTCAAGGAAGTTTTTAAGCGACGAAGTCAGGCTGAAAAATCCGAATCAATAGTCAGCACCTTTTATGTCTCCCTCTCCCACACCTAAGGGAAGCTAGACGGAGGATGAGTAGGGGAATGAGGTCCTGTTGTCGAAATGTCCGATGTGGCACCTAGTTATGGGCGAAAGTGACTGTTGGATAGCAGCTAGGGGCGTAGAAACCCCGGCCAACGCCTTCTAATGCCAACGAAAGGGAGTCTCTCCAGTAAGATTGATCTCAGCCCTTTGAACTACGTGGACTATCAAGCCACAACCGGGTGCAAACGAGGTGAGCCCTCCCCTCATTTGCTCCTCGCCAGGATATCTCAGCCATTTGAAAGTAGACTCTCCATGAGGCATTCATCGAGAGACTCTTCGCTTAGCCGGCCGACATTTACCCGCTTGCAATCGAGTCGAGGAACTACAAGTGTCGACACGTCTCCGACTTTCTAAGAAGTATTTCGAGTCCCTAGAAGAAACTGCAGTCGTTGCAGTTGAATAAGGCAACGGCGATACTACGATCCCTGCTTACCCAAAAGAGAGACGCCTCGACCTGTTCGAACCTACATTATTTCCTTTAGTTCCGTCTCGAAATCCCCTAAGGATCCTTTGTTCCTGGTCGCGTTCTTTAGTCCCGTCTCGAAACCCCCCAAGGATCCTTTGTCCTTGTCGTGATGATCAATGACGACAGGTTCCAGGCCCTCGCCATCATCCTTAATTTCCCAGGGCCATACCCTCCACGGCACTTTTCCTCTTCGTGCCAGAGCCTTCCAGACCCCGACGGCGCATTGCCAGACGGTCGAGAGCCCTTTTAGGAAATTAAGCACGACTGCCTAGGACGGCCTCGTCTCGTCCAATCCCGTGCTCCTAGTCCACATGGAGTACGAAACCCCATTCATCCCGCACAAGGTCACCGATGCCTCGCGGTCAGGCCCAGAGCCACCTCGCTCACCTCACACGCTTCTTCATCAGCCCCAGCGAGCTACGTGTTCGGGCCACTTGGATACATCGGACGCAAGGACATTCAACATTCGTGGCTCTGCTGCGTCCTCTGAAAAGCTAACTTTAAAAAGGCAGAGATGCATTCGTAATATATTGCATGGAAAGAGGCCAAAGGAGGGTACTATATTTCACATGAACCATTGGGCCCCCACTCATTTCGATGAGTGTCACATCCTTTGAAAACTCTTTTGATGCTGAATATAAAAATTCTGAGAACTTTTTACGAAAATCAATACTTTTCAAGCTATGCGGGAAAAATGATCACCACAGGAACGGAACGATAGGTTTTCTTTTCAGGTTTTTAGCCAAATAATAATTTTGAGTTGCCCCATCATATGGGGCTACATCCGAAGGGAGCATAAAAGTAAGAAAAAATGTAATAAGCTGAAAACTATATTAATAATGTGCTAATGCTCTCCAAGATAGACAGGAGAATAGAAAATTTAATTAAACTGTCTATACGGTGATTTAACCTCAGATGTCTACCAATGGCAGAGTCCCAGTACCCCTAATTAGCGTTGCAGGGGCATGGGTGTCCACCTCTGCCGCTGGAATTCGCCATATCAGGTGAGTTCATGAGGAGACTTTCCTATTTTGGGATTGTCACGAGAAGGAAGGAATTACCCTGACACTAATCGCAAGTTCTATTCCTATTTTCTATTTTCCGTATCGAAGAGGCCTCCCTCCATGGTCTGGATCTCATTCTACTTAACTAGACCTTTCTAAATATATCACAGGGGTTTTGGCCTCATTATCCGTTAATTGGTAATTACAGTCATGAATCATGTGGAGAATAATAACTCTGTAATGGAATGAAATAGGACCATAAGTTGGGCACATATTTTGACTCAGCGATTTGAGGTCTATCTAATGACATCAATTTCAAAATGACCAAAACATAGTACCCTCATTTCCTTCAGACAAATCATCTCTTCCTTGTTTTAGGACTTACTCCATCCAGGCTCTCTCCCGTATCTCTCTCAAAGGTGCCTTCATGTCTAATGAAACCAATCCTTTCCGACATTAATCTTCCAAGGCGCCTCGTTCAGAGCGCTCTTTCCTAAGCTCTACATTACATGCAGTTTTCATGGCAGATAGACAAGACAAAGAGAAAAGGCTCACTCGCAGCATGTGCTAGAGCAAGACATTCATAATTCAGTCGAGATATGAGAAGGAAGAAAAAGTTCCCGCTTGTTCTCTCCGGTTCTTCGCCTTACCAATGGATCATCTGTTACACTTGATGACCGGAGTGCAGGGCAAACAAAGCTATACCATCTACCCAGAGCATGCGGACAGTAAAAGGGTCGAGGTGAAAAACGCAGACACAGACCTTGGTACTCGGACCAGCGATCCCGCTCCCTGTGAAGAGGCAGGGACCGACTGGTGATGAGCCGATGGAAACCCTGAAGGAGCAACACCAACTCCTCGGCGTCCTTCTCCTCCAAACTCAGCACCAAAGGCTGCAACACAAACACACAAACTCCACTGAAATAAGGATCCAAACTCGAGGCCTATCTTGTTCTTTCATGAACGTGCACAACTGAATAAAATCAACAATCGAGGTTCTGCTACGTATGGCATGGGGATTCGAGAAAATATATTTATAGTTTTATCGTAGCGAGGTCACGACCGCACGAAAGCAAACTATGCGCATAATACCCTTACAGGAGAAGCTTTCGGCAAGGCTTCGAAAAACCATCACCACTTACATACTCGTAGTTTCCACACTTTTATAGCTTCCACCCTGAATGCGGAAATTGTCTTTGTGTTTAATTTCAAGAGCAATTACCCTCCGGAGGGAAGCAGCAAACTTGAAAATGACATTCAGGGCGTACCATGCATCGATTTCAGCTTTCGTCCGATCACAGGACCTAACTTTTTGCCTCACTCCATAGAGAACGTACAATACACAATCGAGTCTGAAAGGGTTCCATGTTATGAAGATAGCACTCTCGCGCCCCTCCCGGAATGCTGGCACCCGCTAACCGAAGGGTTTATTGATACAGCTGTTGCAGACAACTATTACGAGAGTCCCAGACTGGAAACAACGTTCGAGATGGTGCACAAAGGATGTGCTCGGTCTTCACATTGACATCTGCGCCCAGCCGACCCGAAGCCGAGATGTTTCCAACATCCGGAGGAACAAGATTGATCTTCTCTCTCGCATATATACGGAATGGAGCGTGGAGTGACGGAAGTGCAGTGATGTACTCCGACAGAAACAGAACTTCTTCCCTCAATATACTGTGCCGCGGAGTGGAAAGTTCTCAAGCACGGACTTGCTCCGTCAAAATATTTATCCCCCCCCCCCCTGATATCCACACTTCGGTTACCTCTCCCAACTTGGACGAGCTAGCTCTTCCGTGGCACAAGTGATCATTGTGAAGGGGGAAAAAAAGTCAAGAGGGAAAAAAATAAAAAGAGATTTGTGTGCAAGGCCCGAAGGGGAAAGAGACAGTTAATGAGGTGTTTCCGGCCAAGTTTTCCCCCCTTCAGCTCGGACATGACCGGAATGCCCACGAGGAAACCCGGAAATGAGCTCTTCCGGAAACAAGGATATGATCCGTCTCGATGATGCATGAAGCACATATTTAAAGGCTTCAAAAGAGTTGAGATCGATCCGGATCGGCACTGACGAATAGATCTGTCGTGCACTCAAAGATTCTAAGACGGATGCTACGATGTATCTCTTGCATCGCGAAATATCCAATTCATTTCGGGAATAGATGAAAAAGCGATTCTCAAGACAAATGATCCGATAGTTGAAATGAGAATGGGATACGCATCCGATGGCATGCGAGCATTCCCCCCGATTGCTCCTCGATAAAAAATGAAACGCCACGTTCCATCGGCAATAGCGATGCTTCGAGCTACTCTCGGCGAGAAGCAAATGCAAACCGGGAATTGATGTGCAGCCCAGGGAAGAAGAAACGGAAAGGTTCCCCCTTATCAGATGAGAAGAACAAACAAATGTGATGGGCCGGAACGAGAAGAGGGAAGAGAAATGCTTATGCACATTCCTCGCTTTTCTTCTCTCTGGCACTGCCTCTTCTCTCTTAGTTCCTCCAACTAGTGGTTGAACGAATTATCAACTACAGAAGCAAATGCTAGTTACCAAATTGAAATATCGAAGAGATCGAATCCGGTAATTCGTGCGATGAAATCTGAGGGTTTGAGCAAAACCTCTGGATTAAGAAATTTTCGCCCTCAAGAGTTTCCCTCTCGCGATTCCCGCTGAGAGATACCTACTTTAAGCAACGAAGACCTTTTGTAGAACTTCTCCGGTCATCAGCAGGAAGGCAATTTGAGGGAACGGCTCCTGGGGGGACTGGGGGCTGAAATTACGGATGAAGGAGGAGGAGGGAGGGGGGGAACGTGATCAAGAAGACATTCCCAATGGACTAAGGATATGAACCTCATTGTTCCCCCGGCCATTTCTCTTCCAGAACATGTCATGTCATCTTCTTGGGACTCAAACGAATGTCTCGGGCTGATGGGATCTGAGGCCCTCTCACGAGCTTTCCGATGTTTCTGTTTCCACGGCTCTAAAACACCTCCTGCTTCGAGGTTACAGGCATGGTTTCTTCACACCGAACGAACATAGCGAACACTGCCATACGTGGCTTGGAATGAATTCACAATGAGTTTCGAATTGGAATGCATATTGGTTGGGGAAGATCAGGTAACAGGGGTTACTGATTTGCTGAACATTAAAGGCACCAGGTACGGCTCTCACATCAGGTAAGGAGCGTACAGTACAGAGCCCAACGAACATGAATTTAGGAACTGTTGTTTCAAGAGCAAAATGTAACTCGACTTCGAATTCCTCTTTCGTGCGCATCAAATGGCTATTGGCTACGCGTATAACGCACTTAAGCCCTTGCTGACGCTTGAATCATGGCGTAATCCGTGAGAAAAGGACAGTAAAGAAAAAAAACCAGCACACAGGCGGTGCGTTGGTAACCCTCGATAGCGAATGCGTATAAGTCAGATCGTGTGTGGAAATAGTTTTCTTTCTAACTCCAAGGCAATGCAGGCATCTCTACAGAGGTGATTTTTTTTTATCCAATGAACACACTGAGAGTTACCTGCACGTCGCGCTCAGCAAAAGAACATGTAAAAAGAAAACAAAACAAAAGCCAGGTAACGCCAGCCCGGAAGTCGGCCCGTCGGCATCGTGAATCTATTAATTTTAATTCTCGAAAAAAAATTTCATCATCAGAGAGGAACATCAGAGAGGTGGAGGGAGGATGGAAGTGTGCCTGCACACCAAGCTTTACTTCAATCATACTGGAGTCAATATTATTTTAGCGCCCCGTCCAGAAATGAAAATGGCAACAGCCAAACAGACAGACAGGGCGGGATCAGTTTGTTTTCTGAAGAGAGAGGGCATGCAAAAGAAAGACAGAATATGAGACTTACCTCTTTGTCGGGATCTTTGATGGTGAGCTCGACTCGGTAACTAAGCTCGTCTTCTCTCGTCAAGGCTATCGTCGTTATCGCCTCGATGTCGCACAAGGTCAAAGGCTGAAAAAAAAGAAGTGAAGTTATGAAATTATTTTCTCCCGAGCTACTCCTGAGGGGCTGTGCAAACCATTCAAAAACAGGAAACGGGAATCACTCGCGAAGCAGGTGACCATCCACTCATTCACTTTTGCCACTCGAACATTCTCTTTATGCACAACGTTCATAGTCAAGATTACTACGGCTGTATCATTTAACATTTCGAAACGAAAATCATCCTTGCCGAAAATGTTCATGCCAAACTTTGGAGTTTCAGGAGCAACATACTCGTTTCCACGACAGACTTATTTTTTTGGCTCTATTAATGAGAACTTTTGAACAAAACTTTCACTTATCCTATTAAATTCGAAGGTCCGAATATTGGAACCTCATTTAGGTGAGATAAAAGGACTCTTTAGCAAAACAAAAAAAAAACTATTTTAGCTCCATAGGAGTCCAAGGATTCTTCAAAAGACCATTAGATTTCAGAATTCAGGCCTTAGACCCTCGAATATCATCATTCAAGTCTTCATACTTTCCAAAATTTGTTGGAACATGAATTCATCTAGCAGAGTCTAGAGATCTAGAGTAGAGAGATCTAGCAGATCTAGCAATCTCCCGCTTTCGCGCAGAAAATGTTAAAGAGGAGCGTTTAGATGATTCTTTCTGTTCCCACAGGGGAGATATATTTCCATGTGAATTCTCACTTGGGTATTGCAATGAAGACGCTCTCATTATCTCAATGGAGAGGTTCTAAAGGAGCGCGTTTCCCCGATTATCACATGAATGAAGGTTCTAATGAAGAGCTTCCTCATCAAGGAAGCCTTTACGAAAAGATTATCCCCAGCTGATCTCGGCGAGAACCTCCCAAGAGAAAACACCCCTCTCGTGAAAAGAAGGCCTTCTCCGGGGGACGGGGGAGAAGCTCTTCGAGATTCCCAAGCAGAAAAAAGAGCCAGTGAGCCCTTCCTCGAATGTCGCAAGGGAGTCTGAAATAAATCTGAAATTCCTCTCGCCTGCACGGGCAGAGATATTTTCAAGAGGGACGAAGAAAGCGAGAAAATCCCCTGAGTATTGGGGATGAGATGAAAACATTACATTTGTTCCTGGTCCAAGAAGGACCCAAAGGATTTGGCGGAAATCGTATTAGGCGAAGAAATTTCCTCAAGAAAATCCTGCGATTCCCTGAAAGAGACCGAGCCAATCTATCTCCCAGAGTCGATACGGCTCAAGACCGGAAAAAAAGACTTTGGTGAATCTTTGATGGGGTTCCCTTGATTAGGTGCATGGTACAAGGCAGAGAATCAGGCAATAAGCGGAAGGCAGGGCTCATAATAGGCTGCTGGAGATTACTTGGGACGAAGCCAATACCAGAGAATGGGATTTCCCACAAGTCATATACAGTAGGTGGCCCGAAGGCCTGAGCCTTATGAAGTCCTGTGGCCAATCGTTTTTTCCTACCCGCGTCTTCCAGTCAAGCGGAATATGAGATGCGGGGAATCAGCAAGACGGGGGCAATAAGTCACCATTACTAGGGGACGTCCCGCTTACAGTAACGTTCATCTCGTCTTGCAATCTCGCAGGTTCATCCATCTTCACGGGCTTTATTTGGGGGCTTTTGTTGGGGCTCAACACCCCAAGCAGTTCCCATTCTAGTGATATAGATTCAATTATCGGCATGAGAAATTCCAGCATCTATTTAAAATTTGCATTTGGACTAGATCCGGCTAATTCAATAATCGCATCGACTGACTTCAGACTCAAGGAAGCATTATCCCATCCCGCTGGAGAATCCTGAAGGCATTCGCTCATTTCCAATCGGCGAATGACTAAACCGCCGCGATCTTCGCACCCGGGTCGAGATCATGCGGAAGGAGGGGATAGGCCAATCGGAAAATTGGCATTCCCCAGGGAACTTCCCCCTCTGCTACCCTCATAATCACCAGGGAGGGGTGGAAAGGAATCTGAAGAAACGGCTAACAAGGAGGGGATCTGCGGGTTGAGGAGGAATTCCTCAAGGACTTGCCTAATTGCTCGAATGTGCCCCTGTCATTGGATCTCTGTCAGTCTCCCGTTTGCCGTCGGAGTCAGAAGAGATTTCACGCTCGGCCATGCAAAACTTTTCCTTGCTATTCCGGGCACAGATTCGCTGAGAAAATGGAATTCTGATGAGGTCGACAGCTGTCCCAAGGAAAGGAATCTACATTCTTCCGACATTCCTTCTTCTCCCTTTCCAATATCCCCATATCCCCCCCTCCCGTATTGCAATACTGTATTCAGCAGGCCCTTCTGCGCTCTTAGGAATGCAATTGCTTCTATTTTCACGAGGAAAAATACAAAGCTCCCAGACATCACGGTGATACACCGACGCCGTCGCGCGCTTGCCAGATAGTAGTGCCGTGAGGTCACGAACTTACGGCTGCGACTGACACGCAATTACGAATCGTGGCACGAGGTAAAAGGAGGCACCGAAACTCGTGAAAAAATAAAGAACGCTTTGCATAAAACGCCATTGACATGTCAACGGAAAAAGGAATTACCTCACACGAAGAAATAAGAAGCTTTGTGCTCTCTTGCTTCTTACCTTCCACATTTTGCCTTTGTCCCCTTTTACTTTGGCGTCAAGCCAGAATACGCAGGATGCACCCATGTAGGTCTACGCATGTGGGTATGTACGTATGTAAGAAACTTAGAGACTGTCCTCACCTATGGCCTCGCCAAAAGCAGCACAACGACCTTGCATATCTCTTCTCCGTACGGATACCGACCCGTTGACAGCAGTGCGAAGACAATAGGCAGGCGACAAAGACACCTTAGAGGCGACTTCCAAATGCAAGTTAGGCCTACATTTGACTAAACCCTCTCTCGTGACTTGAGATTTGTGGATTTGTGATTTACCGTTTTCGATGCCTGGAGCGTCGAAAAGCGAGACCTACCATCTACCAGGCCATTCCAATCGCCTACAGTTCGTATTGTTTTCAACGTATTTCGTGGCATGTGGCCTTCCGAGCAAATCATCGTGAAAAATGTTAGCGAATGACTTCATATATTCATATGCATGCATGCACGAATTTCTTCTGGCCGAGTTGCGCTTTTGAAATCCACACCTCCATTGGGAAGTGATGATTAAAGTGAATGGTGCCACATCGAGCCAGACGGTATTATACTTTTTTGTCCTGATAAATAATAGCCTAACTGCTACGGTGTATAGCTATCGCACTGCATCATAACCTTAGATAAGTTGATACTGTCATAGAGATAATTTTTCTATATTTTTTCAAAATGCAAGACAATATAACGTTCTAGTATAGATGATTCTTTTAAATCTTGGAAATATTTTTCCCTCACCTTTTCGATGGACCTTTTTAAATAAGTGCTGAATATACATCTTATAGGTCTATGACCACTCCCATCTCTATTCTGTAAATATAAAAGTACTTTCGCACTTCTGAAGATCCTCTTATTTTTGGAAGTAAACAAAGCAACACCATTAAAGGTCTCCCAAAGCAATTCAAACGAACCCGACTGTGGCCATGGAAGGATCAATAGGAGTCAACAATGGATCAAGCAGCGAGATGGCAGATGCGGACAGACTTTTCTGAAGTCAACACGCGCTGGATAGGCGTGGGCAGAGGCGCTGATGACAACCTGAACGACTGGGCACCGGATAGCAAGAGAGTGAGAGACGGAAGGGGGGCCGCGGAGGAATCCCTCGCTCATAACTCCCCCCGTTGGAGACGCAGGAGCACGTTCCCATCCTTTGGCCCGCCAATCCCAACTCTTCCCCCGATTTTTCCACCAATCGCGAGGACGGACGGTCCGTAACCCCTCTGCAGCGTCAAAGTATTCATGTCTAAATACTGAAATTGACGGATTCAGGATATCTTCCCCCTTCGTCGTGTGGTCCGGATGCCAGCGGTTGTAGCCATGCCATCGATAATGTTCGCTTCGTAGGCGTACGAATAAATGCATTTCAAGGCGGGGATAAAATTTAAGCTGATAACAGAAAAGCTGAGAATTCGGCTCTGAATTCTTTTCATCCATCATAGTGAGGCAAACATGTCGATGCTCAATGTTGTTCCAGATTTCCAAAGATTACAATGCTATCTGTACTGCCACTCAACTGCCTATGCGATCAGATCAGGAATTCCAGGCAAAGCCAACCTCTGTTCTCTTACGAAAGTGCACCGAGCAGCTGATCCAATCTTGTCGAATAAATAAAAAATTCGCTGAACCAGGGAAAGGGCCGCAAAGAGGCTCTACACGTAATCGATCCAACAAACTCATTAAGGCCCTTCCGAATCGCATCAAATGCTATTTTGGACAAGTAGAGATTCGCCTCTAGAATCCAGCTGTCACGAAGGCCATCAAAAGCTTTGTATTTTACCGGTGCATGTTCTGGAATTCTAATTCTAATTAACTGCTCCATGGCGATTCCATCCAGATCTAATGGATACTCTGACCAGATTATGAATGGAGTTCAAAGAAGACAAAGGTCCGAAACTGGATATGTTCTACCAGCGTCTGAATTGGACCAGATCTATTATTACCAGTATCTTTTACCAAATGGGCAATTCCCACAGAAACGAAATATGAAGACCGGGACCACAATTTCTTTGGTAGCTTGAGAGTGCCTATACGCGCTGGAGGTATGATAATAGGAGTCTGAAGAGGCAAATGAGATTTCATCTACGGCTCAATTTTCTTGGGAGGGCCGGAGGCGAGATTATTTCTTGCTCAATTTCACGAGGATACAAGGAGCAAGTTTATTTATAGTGCGGGGACATTTCCTTCTTCATAAGAGCAAAAAAAAAAGACCTAGCGATGAGGAAAGTTCCCATTTCTTTTACGCTGAAAGCATGCAAAAGGGCCACAGATCAGGTGGCAAAAAAAAAACCGACCTTTTAACTTTTATATCTCTGCTTTTACATTGCAGGCATTAGAAAACATGGATTGAGCGCAAACTGACACATTACCAACAACTTCATGAAAGTGCATATAAACTCGTTCCGTCAGAGCAAGGATGTGAGTGAGTTTTAAAAAGAAATCGAAAATCGTAACTGGACCTGGTTCCTGTCCCTGCAAAGAGCAGCGAGACTCCCCCTTCAGATCAAACTCTCTCTATCGATGCCTATTGATACATCTGCTAGTAATTGGGAGAAAAAAAAAAGGATTCCCAAAATCATTCCAACAAAAAGTCAGGCTAAATATTAATTTTTAACGGAAGAGAAGTTTGATGTGACCTGACGCGCACCAAAGCGCGAGGGTGTTTCTTCCAGGGGCGATTGCCCATTTCAAAATTCAACATTTTTGACTAATTGCTGAGGGCCTTGCTTATTCAAAATGAATTTGAATGAAATGTAACATTTCAGTAAGATCAGAGTTGTTAAAAGTATTTTGGGCATACCCTGTAATATTCAAGGCCCAACATCGCCACTCCCGGAGCAGCATGCAACAAAGGTAGTACGGAATAGAGATACAGGCGGAACAAAGGGGTGCGTGCCGTCACTGTGGTTGGCCACCATCGGCCTCAGCCCCGCATGCCCCCCTGTTATTTTTGCTCCTGCTTTCTTGCCCGTCGGGCGGATACTCACCCCACCTGGTTCTCCTTACTCGTCTCCATAGTTTGGAGACTCCCTGAGTGGGGGATGGAGAAGTAGCCCTACGACGCAACAACCATCTGAAGAATCTGAATCATCTCGTCACTTTGACAAAACGCAGGAACAGTACGAGAGGCGTCACGGATGGAAGTAAAGCTCGAGGCATGCCAAGATTTCCCCGATATTAGTGACTGACGTGATTCGACTCTCATTAAGCCACTCCACATGGTGATTATTCACGAGATGCTAAAATCTGTCACCTCGAAAATGAAATTTCATGTTTATAGTCACGGATTTTCTTATGAGTTTAATTAAAGTGTGTCATGACTTTGATCCTAGGGCTGCTCCCCGGAGATTAGTTCCACCAGATTCCTTGCCCCACTATAGCGACAGGCACCAGATGTGTCCCAGTCCCCATCAACTATACCAAAGCACGTGAGACGTGACGAATGGGACTGACACGGCTGTCCCTGACACATTCAGACGGCTGACAACTTTAGCAGTCTTAACCCTTTCAGGCCTGGCGCGACTTGGGAATTCCGCTAATTGTATAGGGCTATACAGGAATGCACGGCCTTCTTAGTCCCTGTGATCTTTCAGGGAATTTGAATTTTCGTGGTCAATGACGTTTGGTCGTGGACGGTTGAATTAGAAAAATTTGCTTCACCATATATATTTCAAAATTCAGGTATTAAAGGGTTAAACCATATTCCCCCGTTAAGGAAAATGAAGACCTAACAATCTCATTAGGCGACAATTGCAATGACACGAGGAACCACTTCCTTTTTGCGAGCACCTGCAGCAAACTCTTAATCTGACCCAAGTTCATTGCGCTTGAACAGATCTAAGCCAACGGTAATACATGAATATATTTCTTCACGTTTTCATAGCGTTGCAGTCATTCAGATCTCCGTTCCATTATGGATTCCTACGAGTATGGGGAGAAGTCGGCAAGGCTAACGAGCACGTCCTCTCGCAATTAATAAATCCTAATAGAGCTCAGGCATAGCAAAAGGGATCTTTTATTCCATTTCAAATTGAAATCGCACCGGGCTACTTCGGCAGATTCAAGGGGTAACGCAGCACGACGAGACGGAATCATCTGAAGAGGCACACCTTCTGTCAATCGTCCCGTTCCGGGTAGATTTGAAAGAGGAGCGAACAGATCTCGTGGGCGAGAACGGGCGAGGCAGCGCAGAGCATGCGACGAGACATGACGTCCAGGTCCCCACCCGAGGGATCGCACACGTATCCCCCTGCCTCCCTCACGATCAGCGACCCGGCCGCGACGTCCCAGCTGTGGACCCCGTACTCGAAGTAGGCGTCGGCGCCGCCCTCTGCCACGGCGCACATGTTGAGGGCGCAAGTACCCATGCTACGGAATCCGTGCCCTCTATCTAACAGACGATTGAAGTTTTCTATCACGCTTTCCCTCTTCGCCGGGTCTCTCGCCGTCCCGAGTTCAAACATCACCAGCGACTGGGACAGGCTCGTCGTGTCCGAGACATGGAGCCGTTTCCCATTGAGGAAAGCACCCTCGTTCTTTCGGGCCGAGTAGAATAGGTCCAAGATGGGATTGAATACGAACCCGGCAAACGGCTCCTTATCCACCCAGAGCCCGATGGAAACGCATACCAATGGGTACCGATGAATGAAATTCATCGTGCCATCGATGGGGTCGATGATCCACGTGGGCTCCGCAGTGAGGGAGTTCTTCGTCCCGTCGGCCGACGCCTCTTCGCCGATGAACTTATGAGTCGGGAATCGAGCCGAGATCTCGGAAAGGAGCATCTTTTCCACTGCCCGGTCAGTGTCCGTCACGAAATCGATGTCACACGTTTTGGTATCGACGGTCTTGGGCCTGCGGAAGGCGTCTTTGATCATGGCCCCGGCTTTCTTCGCCATCGCGAGTCCGAACTCGTAAGATGCGTTCCCGTCGAAGTCGCTGGGAGGCATGGTTGCGACAAGCCCGCGTTTCACTACGTGAAAATACTGTAGACGGAAGAAGCGACGGGAACACCCGAACATAAAGGCACAAGGGCAGCTTGCCTCAGTCGCACTGAACGGGGACAGGAGGAATAGCTGTTGGGCTGTACACTCCAAGCAGCCATCAAGGTCACAGTGGTGCTCGATAATACTGACGATCTGCGGTGTAACCGCTGATTTTTACTCCTCGGCAAGAGCTGCCAAAACGTCGTCTCATTTGCTTCCGCATACTGAGCATTATACAGATGCAAAATCATCACAAACTGTGATGATGGGGATTTTTAGGCATCAAGGCAGTGGCAGAGACGAAAGAATCCATACGGCAACTATGGCTCCCATCGATCCCGATGCGCAAAAGACGACATCTACACGATGAAGGCGCAACTCTAGCTACATCCGACCGCACACAGGGGTCACGAGAAGAGGTTTTGAGCTCCTCTCTCGGACTTCCTGTCGACTGTGCATCGCACAGATCAAAACACAGAGTGCTCTCCCTTCTAACCAAGTCCAAGACGCGGTTAGCCCGCCTGCTTCTAATAACTTGATGTCTCGAGACGGTGCGGAGTCTTGGTGGTCCATCAATTCCCTAAGCCTAAACTCGACCGTGACTCAAAAACAACTCAAAGCGGAAATGAGACACATGAGTTATGATCCGAAAGAGCATCAACACCAAGGTGCGAACGGATGGGATAGACTCGACAGTCTCTGGCGAGAGCCTAGAAACATCCCTGACGGCCGTCATGGCACTCTGCCATGCTGGGTACTCAAACCGATGCATCCTCGGTCCAAACGGCAGACTGTATTCTGTCGTTAGACACGCGCCCTATTTCCTTCGCCGCGGATGTCTTCTCCCCTCGTCTTCGGAGACGCGTGACATGCGGGTCGATGCGGCCATAGTTGGGGATAAAAAATGCACTTTCAGCCTCCCCACATTTTTAGCGAGCATCCAGGACTCGAATGCGGCTCCTCGGACAGCTCTCGAGTCCCTCGACAGCAGCGCAGAGTAAAAAATATTCATCCGCGTTTCCCTTCTGGATACAAAATTCCCAGAAACCCACTCCCAAATCCCTGTGCTCATTCCCACTCACATCTTTTTGCCTTAGCTTGTATGCTCGGTAAACCAGACGAGTCCCGTAGACTTGACATCTACCCACCTAAAAGCTTCTCCTTGGGGGAAGGATGATTAATAAAATCGAATTCTGCACGCTGCTCCTTGCCAGGCACTTCGCATTCGGACGCTTCGATATCGCTGCGCGCAGGCGGCTGAAATTGCTTTCCGATTTCTCTTACGCGTGATTGCAATGGTCTTGCATTTTTAAAGAGAGGAGCCTACGGTTTCTTTGAAAAAATAAAGTACTATTAGTTGGAGTTCGTCAATTCTTCTTAAATTTACAAAAATCATGTGCATAAAAACACGAGGCCCGCACGATAACCGATGGCGAAATAATAAATAATTATACCAGAACTCCCTTTTTTTTTGACAGCACATCGAACTGACCCGGAAAAGAAAGCAAAACACGCAGGTGCCGGGGAAACAATCTCTGGAAGTGAGTAAGGAAGAGGGAAAAGGAAGAAAAGTGAACCGATGAGGTACGGAACCATATCTTTCAACTGCGGAGAAAATATTACAACCCTCATTTCCGACAGGGTACACCACACGCGACCGTTTCTGGGGGTAAATTTTTCAGATAAAAAGTCCCATACTCAAGTATTCACAAATGAAAATCCAATTAATTTTCGTGTTTGCACGCAAAATATATCTTACATTCGCGGGCTTTATGCCTGCAACCCGATTGCGGGGGGGGGGGGGGGGGAATTCAATTAGCATTCCCCGTAAAATATTACCCATATACGAGTCAAACCCACAAATTGATTTCCGTCTCCGAACTATATATATCCTTCCCAGAAAACGCTGCGGGGTTTCTTTCAGGCCACACAAAGACGAGAGTGGGTGGGAAACGGATACCGGATCGTTCGGAAGTTCTGACGGCTCGCAGCTGTCCCGGTCCCGGTCGCAGTCCCGGTCCCGGTCGCAGTCCCGTCCGACACCTGACAAACGTCTTCCGCAAGATGCTCGTGATCGTTCCGTACCGGGCCGCTGATAAAAATCGTTCTCATTACCGAACAGCAAGCCGTCCGTTAGCCGTTTCGCAGGCGAACGGAAATCCCTCTCCCAAGCCTTTCGTATACATTTATACTGTACATAGGACGGGAGGCTCAGAATACCGGAGAGGAAAGGATCGATACGACCTTTTCCACGGACGTGCAGCCTTACGGTACGAACGTACAAGAACACCCGATTGCTCTCATATGATTCTATTCTCGCCGCCGATTCTGTCGAAGTTCAGACGACTTCCGAGAAAAGAGCCACAAATTGCGACCATTCGGTCGAACAAAGGACGAACGAGAGCACATCGAGGAAACCTGCACTCGTCGAAGGATCGAAGCAAGCACTCGTTACGGGCTCTCGCGACCGGATTTCGGGACGGAATCGCAGAAATCACAAGCAAGCTCCAATCGTTCACCACCGCAGGCACCAATATATTCATCACGTGTCTTTACCCCCTCGCGAACTTTCAAATTGTGATTCCAGCGAGCGGAGAAAAACCCAAAAGCCACGATCGCGCCGAGCAGCGAAATCGCAGACTGCGAAGAGGCCTCGGGACCTCTCCCCATCTCTTTCGCGAGAAAACGTCACAAAACCTCTTATCCTGAACCTCTTATCTATCAATATGCAGCACGAAATCGGCTCTGTTCTCTCGCATCGGGCTCCAAGCCTTCGATCGATACGCATCACAGAGCAGTCGGAAAATCCACGTAAATTAGCACATCCGTACCGAAGTGAGCGCATTCCCTCAGGCTCGTCCTATGGCACTCCGTGCGGCAAGACCTCCAGGGGATAGAACCGTTCTCTCAGAGACGAAGCGCCATCCCCGCGACGAAGAGCGGCGAAGAGCAGCGGACCGACAAGTCTTCCCTGGGTAACGAGGGATCGACCACTGGGTTCTTTATGCCGATCCGAGCTCCCATCCCTCCCATGCTCTCAATAACAAGAACACCTCACATTCCCACGTTCGTGACGTCCTACCCAACGACCCGTGTCGTGCAGAAATTTCAAATGCAGAGATCCGGGAGAAAGCAGGGCTTTCAGCGCGGTACGTCCGATCGCTAACGCGGGATCAGGAATCGTTCGCCGGGCGTCCTCGGAGATTCAAATATTTAAATCGAGTCGAATCCGTAATAAATCCATCATAAAGCCATTTGCGAGCACGAAGTCGGCTCTGCCTTTTCACACCGGAGGCCACCATTAGATACAGATCAGGAGGAATCGCGAAAATCCACGTCTTGGCATGGTGTCGGTCGGAACGCGCGGGAATCTGCTGCTGCTCGTCACTGTCAAATGCTTGGGCCGAGTCCAGTCGGCAGCACAATGTGTCACACACAAAACCAATCGTGCGAATTTTTTTTTCCCCACAGAAGAGGTCCCGGTAGCGACGCGCTCCAAGGGAAACGTACGAGAGGAATAAAAAAGACGGGAAAATGGAGCATTACCAAAAAGTTCGCCAGGGAACGCATCCAGCACGAATTCAAAGCATGCAGACATTTTCCTCTGCGTCGAAGGAAAGAAGAAAGAATTCCTCCCCGACTGACTCGTTTACGAATGAAAATCGTGGAAATTTGCATACTCTTGCCCCTATCAACATCAACCCCGGTAAGGTCTCTCAGAGCCATCTGATGCTTGAAAAGAAGAGAGAGAAATCGACAGGAGGAATAAAATGGTGCTGCCTAGATTAGCATTTTTAAAAAAGTACGTTGGATGTGAGTGTGGAGGAAGTGACGAGAATGAATGCAATTTTTCTTACTACGGTGTGAAATGATGAAAACTCGCTGCAATGAGGTACATCGAAAGACGTGCCCAGCGTCATGAAATGCTAGAAAAAGCAGACTTTGAAACGGGGTCCCTACGAACGGCGTCATAACTTCCCCCCCTATTTTTACGCAATTAGAACTAATGGAACTAGAAAGAGTTTTATCTTCGTGCGCTTCCTCAATAGTGACTGATACTGAGAAAATATCTCTTTCGAAAGCAGGGACGAAAAGGAAAGGAAGTGAGGAAAATACGGACGAACATACCATCGTGCTTCGGAGTGGGCTGATTTGACTAAGGCCGAACTTGGGACTGACCAGGATCACCGTGTCCACGTTCCCGTCCTGAAACACCAGACCGAGGCGTTGCAAAACCAGAAGGAAAAAAAAAAATCCCTCGTAAACTCGAACGGAATCCATACCCTGAGATTGGTTGGGAAGCACTTGGCGCCATAAGAGGGGAGCTGGGCGATGATGTTGAGGTAATGGAGCTTCGCCTGGAGAGCAGACAGCTGCTTCTGGCCCGGGGCCGAGAGCTGCTGGACTTGCTTCAGGAAGTGGCTCAGGAGCTTCCTCAGCTCCTTCCGCTTCATCGTCTCGATCAGGGAGGCGGGGACGAACTTCTCCAGGCCGAATTCTTTCCTGTTCGAGCGTTCATAATCTCATTTCGCAAATGCGTTCGTTCGGTGGCCTTCGTCAGAAGAGAGCTCATAGAGGACGCGGTAGACCATTACGTATCGTGTATTTTGAGGCCACGAATGCGACTTTCTCTCAATCCTGATCATCAGAGTGCACGCATGCTTATGGAATGAAACGAAAAATTTTTTTACACGATAAAAAACGGTAAAAAAATAACCGTAGAACAATCATCCTCCACCACCTCACCAGGAAACCAAAGCGAGAAAACCGGATAAAGAAGATTCTCACTCGATGACTTTGACGGTGATCTTCCCCTGGAGGTTCTGCGACATGGCATGCTGCTGGATGTGGAGGGCTGCCAACCTCAGCGCCACTTCGTACTTGAGCTCGGGGGCGAACCGCTCGTTCACCACGTCATTGCAGCACTGCTCGTTTCGAATCACACCCACATCATCGTCAGAAACCTTTCCGCTTCCATTTTCGACCGCGTGCATGCACATCGAAGACTTCTCATTAGGTTGCTTCTTTACGATCTCGATTGCATCGGATGCTTTCATTCCCCTCTCTCACGGTCGAAAGAATACGGGAAAACCTTCTAGAGATTCTAGAGATTTTCGTCGCATGATTTTCCCCCACAATACTCTTAGGACCCAACGCACGCTAAACACGAATCACTAACGAAAAAATTAGAGTGAACGTGCGAACACAAAAAATATAGACCTGATTCATTCATAAGTCAGTTTACCGAGGGGTTTTCAGCTATGCTAAATTCTTAACTTCGTTATTAATTTAAATGTCAGGGAGAAATTTTGAAGCGTGCGTCTTCTTTTACCTAGAATGAAAATATAACTTTTAACAATAATGGCAATTAATAGCAAAAACAATATCACGCAACATAAATTAAATTAATTAAAGTGAGGATAGCTGAAACTCCCTCGGTAAACTAATTTATGGAACACCCTGTATATAAGCTCTATTCTATAGACAGGAGGAAGGAAACAGCAGTAAAGAACTGGAAATCATTGCACCTCCATTTATGTCATGCTATTGCGAGAGATGTGTCGTTAAACGCTCTCAACAGCAACAATAGGTAACAAGCTAACCATTGACAGACACAGACAGACAGTACTAATTAAAGGCCTTTGTCCAGGGGGCTCCCTGACAAGCATCTCATGGCTTCCAAATAGGCATATTTGAATTTGTATGCAATTTAATGTTACTTCTCAAATTCCAGACAACTACCGCCACTGGTACCGGTCGATGGTTGGCAGATGAAAATCGGCAATCAGTACAGCCCTACTTAAAATGATCACAAAATAGTGCTAATTACCCATAAATCACCACTAAATTACCCAAACTAAACGCAACATTTCTGGCAATCATCTCCAAAATGGTAAATTGTGAGCAACCAGGGCCGGATTAAGGGGGAGTGGGGCAAAGGGGGCTGTTGCCCCGGGCCCCACTCTTCCGGGGGGGGGGGGGGGGGGCCCCCCATGGGGAAATAAAAA